ACATGTGTATAACCTTCGATATTATCAGCATCATCCCCCCATCCCCAGTGGTACAATTGTTACACTTAACCTGCATAATCACCTATTGTCAGAGTTTAAGAATTCACTCTTGGTGTTGGAGATTTCTATGGGTTCGAACAAGCTTACAATGCTATGTAACCCCTTTATAGTACTTACATAGGGTTGTTCTACTGTCTTAAAATTCTTCCCTCCTGCCTGCTGTTCTTGACAGCCAATAATATTTTTATAGTCTTCATAATTTTTTCCTTTCCTGAATATCCTGTAGTTGAAATTCCATAGTATGTAGTCTCTTCAGTTCTTGTCTTGGTTCACTTAATAAGATACAGTTGTGTGCTGCATAGTGACATTTTGATCAGTGATAGATTGCTTTTATCTTCTCTATCTTATAAGTGGTCCCTTAAGATCATAGTGCTTCCTTTTGTCATAGTAGTCTTCATGTGTTTGTTTCTTTTTTTTTGTAATTCATCATAAAGTAGTCTTCATTTGTGTAAGTGTACTCTGAAGTTTGCATGAGGATGAAATGGCCTAATGGTTCATTTTCAGGACTTATGACCATTGTTACATGACATAACTGTACATAGAATAATCTGCTAGATCTGTTTCTGATGGAGGTATTGAAGTCTCCCAGTGTGACAGTAGATTCATCTGTTTATGTGTTCCTGTCAGTTTCTGCCTCAAGTACTTTGTTAAGCACCTACATGTTATTCATTGTTGTCTTCTTGAACTGACCTTTGAATCAGTATGAAAGGCCTTCCTTTTTCTCTGATCCCTCTCTGTGCTTTGAAATCTGTATCTGCCATCTTTCTTTTGATTAGTTAGTATTGTAAGGGTCCGGCGAACGTCGGAGGAAGAGACCACCCAGAGACCGAGGCTCATGCAACAGCAAAAGGGGTTTATTGAGGATCCAATCCAGCGTGCTGGGGCTCCGTGCTCACTCAAGAAGGGAGAGCAGCCCAGAGCCCCTAGCAGGGGTTGAACAGTGCTTAAGTACACTTTTTGGGGAGGGTGGGGACTTTACATACATCACAGTCTCCTTTAACAAATCATCATACACCACGGGAAAATCAAACAACAATTCCTAAACATGATTAGTTCATTCATTGGCGGGAACAGGTCTGGCGGGAGTGATAGGTGAGTTCTAAGGGGGGAGGTACATTCAAACTAATTGGTTTAGGCCCTGCGATGCCTATGTGCAAGGCCGCGCAGGGTCCTAGGTTATTAAACAACCAGATGGTCAGGGGAATATTTACTGGGCAGTTCCGGGTATTGTCCTAACAACTACAGGAATTTCAGGTTTTGGGGGTGTAGCATAGGAACTTAACAATACCTGGTCCTTTACTTTTTAACTCAGGCCTTGCAGCTTAGAAACTTTACAATGCCCTGTCTTTTACACTTTAACTTCAATTTCTTTTACCCTTACATTATGTATATTTTCTCTTTATTTATTTTTACTATTAATAAGTGTCTTATGTTTAAAGTATAGATAACATATATTTGGGACTTTTTTTTTTTGCTCCACTCTGTCAGTCTCTTAATGGGTGCATTTATACTGTTGATGTTTAAGTGATTATTGATATAGTTGGATTATCATTATTATTTTTTCTTTTGTATTTGTTGCCCTTGCTTTTTGTTCCATTTTTTTGTCTTTGGTCTCTTTGCCTTTTGTGATTTAATTGATCCTTTTATTTCATTTTCTCTTAGGTTTACTGTTTTTAAAAACTCTTGGTGTTTGCAAAATACATCCACATCGAATCCAAGTCTGCTTTATTCAGAGAACACCATACTGCTTTATTAGTAGTTGAGTACAAAATTAACCCTGAATTCTCTCTCTTGTACTTTGTATTAATGCTGTCATTCATTTCAGTTTGAGACATAGATATAAGCATATTTGTATACAATTGAAAATTATTTTGAACAATAAGAAGTGCTCTTTGTTTAGTAATTAAGAATAATGAAGAAGCATAATAAGTATTTTATCATCATTTATTCCTCTTTAATAGTCTTCATTTTTGTAGAACCAAGTTTCTTATCTATATTATTTTCCTTTTCTCTAAAGAATTTAGGTCTATTGGGCAATAAATAAATAAATGAATAAATAAATAAATTTCCTCAGTGTGTGTTTAGCTGAAAAAAAAATATTTCTTCCATGATTTTGAAGGATAATTTTATAGGGTACAGAAATTTCTGGGTTAGTGTTTATTTTCTCTTAACACTTAAGTATTTTCATTTTACTCTCTTTTCTCTTAAATGATTTTTAAAATTTTTAAAATATCTTTATATTTATTTATTTATTTTTTATGTGGTGCTGAGGATCAAACCCAGGGCCACACGCTTGCCTCACTTGCCCCTCTTACATGATTTTTGAGAAGTCAGATGTAATTCTCTTTTTGCTACATGAGATGGAACCCAGAGGTGCTTAACTACTGAACTACATCTCCAGCCCTTCTTATATTTTATTTAGAGATGGCTCTCACCAAGTTACTTAGGGCCTAAGTTACTGAGGCTGGCATTGAACTTGATATCCTCCTCCTCAGCCTCCCCAGCCTCATGTGTCACTGTGCTGGTCAGATATAATTCTTATCTTTATTTGTCTGTGGATAGGTGTTACTTCCCTCTGGCTTCTTTCAGAATCAGAATTTTTAGTTTTTTCTATTGTGTGAAATTATATGTCTAGGTAAAGAAGTTCTTTTTATTTATTTAAATAAGTAAATATATATATAAAATTTGAAAATTGACACAATAGCTGTATTTTATTTATTATTTTTATGTGGTGCTGAGGATCGAACCCAGTGCCTCACATGTGCCAGGCAAGTGCTCTACCACTGAGCCACAACCCCAGCCTGTGGAGTTCTTTTGCTATTCATTTTGCCAGGTCTTCTCTGAGATTCTTAAATCTGTGGTTTGGTATCTGACATTAATTGGGGGCTATTCTCAGTCATTATTGTCTCCAGTTTTTTTTTTTTTTTTTTTTCCTTTTTCTCTCTCTTCCTTTACCTTCTGGTGTATCGATTATACACAAATTGAATCTTCTGTGTGTGACAGTCCTTGGTTATTCTGTTTAGGGTTTGGATTTGTTTGTTTGTTTTCTTTTTTGCTCCAAGCTTTGGTCTTGCTTCAGTTTTGTGGGTTGCTGTTGCTATATCCTCAAGGTCAGGGATTCTTTCTTTTTTTTTTTATTTTTTTTTATTGGTTGTTCAAAATATTACAAAGCTCATGACAAACCATCTTTCATACATTTGATTCAAGTGGGTTATGAACTCCCATTTTTACCCCAAATACAAATTGCAGAATCACATCGGTTACACATTCACATTTTTACATAATGCCATATTAGTGACTGTTGTATTCTGCTACCTTTCCTATCCCCTACTCTCCCCCCTCCCCTCCCCTCCCATCTTCCCTCTCTACCTCATCTGCTGTTGTTCAATTCTCTCCCTTGTTTTTTCCCCCCCTTTCCCCTCACAACCTCTTATATGTAATTTTGTATAACACTGAGGGTCTCCTTCCATTTCCATACAATTTCCCTTCTCTCTCCCTTTCCCTCCCAGAGATTCTTTCTTTAACTATGTCCCATCTACTAATCAGCCTATCAAAGACATTCTTCTTTTCTATTTTTATCTTAGACTTCCCTCTCTCTCTGCTTTACGTTGCCCTCTGTTCTTACATGCTTTAGAGCCCTTGGTATGTTAATCATAGTAGTTTCCACTTCCTAGTCCAGTATTTCCAATAGCTTTGCCATGTTTGGTTCCAATACTTGCTTTGTCCTTTCACATTTTATTTTGGCCTTTTAGTATGCTTTGTAATTTTTTTCTTATTGCCTTTCATTGGTATACTTGGTAAAAGGAACTGGTGTAAATAGGGTTGTTTTTTTTTTTTTTTATTGGCGGGGGGGAGTGGGTACCGAGGATTGAACTCGGGGGTACTCAACCACTGAGCCACATCCCCAGCCCTGTTTTGTGTTTTATTTAGAGACAGGGTCTCACTGAGTTGCTTAGCACCTTGCTGTTGCTGAGGCTGGCTTTGAACTCTTCATCCTCCTGCCTCAGCCTTCCTAGCTGCTAGGATTTCAGGTGTGTGCCATCGCACCCAGCTGTAAATAGGTTTTTAGTAATGTGGCAGTAAGGGTCTAGAAGGGAGTGTTTTGTACTCCTATTTTTATGTCTCAATCTCTTAATGTGTTTGTGCCTTTGGTCTCTGAACTTCACAATGGATTCTATGCCCCTTCTTACCTACTTTAGGTTAGATTGATAATAAAGTGGACGGAAATTGGGTCTATGATGTAGAAGGATAGAAATGGCTAGAGTTTAGAATTTCTCTTTATCCATGTCATTTAAGGTCTGATAAAATTCTAGCAGATTTAGATCTTGTTAAATAGTTTCTTTCAAGGATAGTTCTTGTTAAGCATGCAGTACTTTACTGAATTTCAAAATGGTTCTTTGACTGAAGGACAAGGAGATTTTTCTCTAAAATTTTATTTTGAGAACCTAGATGAGCCACTGAAGTTAAAACTCATCAAAATATGTGTCCCTGTGATGGCAGTTACCTATAATTTTTAACAATACACTTGTTCTTTCTGACCCTCCAATAGCTTCATCAGTTATGGTTCAGGTTTTCTTGTCCTGACATTGTTTCCTGCTGAAGTTTTAGTTTTGCATTCCAGTAAACTAAGACTACCTGTATTCACTTTTGGTCTCTGTGGACTTAGTGGTAGCAAGTTCTCCTATGTTCTCACTTCTCTGAAGATGACTTGTTGATATTGTGTCTTTTCAGCTTTTCACTTATTGTTAGGTTGGAGTGGTTTCTTTCAGTGGAATTAAGAACTGAAGTCTGTTTATTTCAATACATAAATTCTAATACTTTTTTCCTATAGATATCACCTCATTAGTGATATAAATTTTGTACTATCAGGTAAGTGAAAGATATTTTGTATATACTTTATGTACAGTTTGCTTATATTTCTTTTTTTGCTTTCTTTTTAGGTTAATACAATCTGTTGGAATGACACTGGAGAATATATATTATCTGGCTCAGATGACACCAAGTTAGTAATTAGTAATCCTTACGGCAGAAAGGTAAAGTAGTTAAAAAAAAAATACTCTGGTTTGCCAAAATTAATGATAAAATTTAGAAGTTATTACATGTAGCTTCCTTAGTTCCCTTGGGGGCTGTGTGAGACTTTAATCAGCCTTACACTCTAGAAAACTTAAATATGCTTCATTTTATTCAAATGCATAATAGTTGTCCAAGTGACATTATCCCAGTAACATTGTTAGGCATAAAGACAATGACCCTTTTTTTTTTAAACCTTTAGCATAAAGGTGTCTCAGTAAATGAATTTCCTTACCATTGTCATTTATTTATAGCATATTAGAAATAACTTTAAATTTTTACTGTTTATAAAGCAAGGGTATCTCCAAATTGGGTGCTTTTTTTGTTTCATAAATATTTTTGGATATAAATATTCACAGTAGAACTAATAATGCACATTAGTGAAGTTAGATTACTAGTTTTCCAAAAGAATTGGAGTTTTAAATCTCAGTAATCCTTACTCATACTTACGACATTCTGTATATAGCAATTTCAATTTTATAAACATGTTCAAGTATGCTGATTTTAATATTTATAAGGAATAGTAAAAGTGTTCGATTTTAAAATTTATTTAAAATTTCTATAGATAATGAAAAAAATTTCTATTCTGTCACCTAGAATGAGCTTATCTCAACTGGCATAGTTAGTATGTTTACTTTCACTATTAATTTTTATTTTAAGGAAAGATTACTTTTAAAAGTAAAGGTTTTACTGTGCAGACTTTAGGCTGTTATGTGAAACAGGCCACTACTAGTTTCATTCTTTTGTTCCCTAAAATATTATGAACTATATTTTTATTGTACTGTTACATTTTCTTAGAACACAAAGTTGCTATTCTCTGCCCAGCAATGTGCTAGGTAAAATGATATAAAGTATAATTTGTAGGCATACAGTGCTCTTAATTTATTTTGATCTTGTTCTTGTAGATTTTGAAAAGTGTCCAGTTTGTTGTTAATAGCAAATGGTTAAATATTAGCAATATAGTCTGATAAATACTGTAGTATTATGTAGTTCAAGGTAAAATTGGAAATGATATTGAGGACACAAAGCTAGATGTGCTCTACTTGTACAAAAAGGATTTCTTAAAGGAGAAGGTTTTTCTATCATGTTTGTAACAGTTTGCCTTATTCATTTGGGGAGTTTTTAATTGCTACTCCAGACAAAGCATTCAGTTGCATAACTCTTCTGGTTATAAGCCATATAAGAAGTGTTTTCATGTACACAGAACACATTTATAAAGATCCCTTAACTATTTTACAATGTGCTATGTATAAAATATGAATTGAGAAAATTAGTTTTATGTGTTACTTTAGTATAATATTTTAACATTTTAAAGTTTGGGTATTTTAATGTTTAGAATAGTGTGAACAAAGTTGCCAACTTAGTCATTGTTTCATTACTTTTAGTTGAAATTTAATCTTTTAAAAATTTAATAGTATTTAAAACTTTTTAGATACTAGTCAACTCACTGTCATGTGACTAATTCTCAGATACCTTATTTTAATTACTACTACTACTTAGGAATGTTCAACTTGCTTAAAACACAAAAACATCGAAAGATAGTCTACCATGATCAAGTGGGGTTCATCCCAGAGATGCAGGGTTGGATCAACATGCACAAATCAATTCGTGTAATTCATCACATCAATAGACTTAAAAGATAAGAACCATATGATCATCTCAATAGATACAGAAAAAGCATTTGACAAAACACAGCACCCTTTCATGTTCAAAACACTAGGAAAATTAGGGATAACGGGAACATATCTCAACATCGTAAAAGAAAGCTATGCTAAGCCCCAGGCCAATATCATTCTAAATAGAGAAAAATTGAAAGCATTTCCTCTAAAAACTGGAATAAGATAGGTATGCCCTCTTTCACCACTTCTATCTAACATAGTTCTTGAAACACTGGCCAGAGCAATTAGGCGAAAGAAATTCAAGGCATATGGATAGGTAAAGAAGAACTCAAATTAACGCTATTTGCTGACAATATGATTCTATACCTAGAAGACCCAAAAAATTCCACCAGAAAACTTCTAGAACTAGTAAATGAATTCAGCAAAGTAGCAGGATACAAAATCAACACCCATAAATCAAATGAATTTCTGTATATTAGTGACAAATCCTCTGAAAAGGAAACAAGGAAAACTACCCTATTTACAATAGCCTTAAAAAAGTAAAATAGTTGGCAATCAACTTAACAAAAGAGGTGAAAGACCTCTACAATGAAAACTACAGAATGCTAAAGAAAGAAATTAAAGAAGACTGTAGAATATGGAAAGATCTCCCTTGTTCTTTTATAAGGCAGAATTAATATTGTCAAAATGACCACACTACAAAAAGCACTATGCAGATTTAATGCAATTCCAATCAAAATTCGAATGACATTCCTCATAGAAATAGAAAAGGCAGTCATGAAATTCTTCTGGAAAAGAGACCCAGGATAGCTAAAGCAATCCTTAGCAAGAAGAATGAAGCATCATTATACCAGATCTTAATCTATACTACAGGGTAATAGTAAAAAACAAACAAACAAAAAAAAAAACAGCATAGTATTGGTACCAAAATAGACTTGTAGACCAATGTACAGAATAGAGGACACAGAGACTAACCCACATAATATAATTATAGTTATCTTATATTAGACAAAGTTGCCAAAAATGTACATTGGAGAAAAGATAGCCTCTTCAACAAATGGTGCTGGGAAAATTGGAAATCTGTGTGCAACAAAATGAAATTAAACCTCTCTCTTTCATCATGCACAAAACTCAACTCAAAGTGGATCAAGGACCTAGGAATTAAACCAGAGACACTGTGTCTATTAGAAGAAAAAGTAGGTCCAAATCTCCATCATGTGGGATTAGGCCCCAACTTCTTTTATAAGACTCATAGCGCAAGAATTAATAACAAGAATCGATAAATGGGATAGATTCAAACTAAAAAGCTTCTTCTCCGCAAAAGAAACAATCTGTGAGGTGAATAGAGAGCCTACTATTTGGGAACAAATTCTTACCACATGCTCGTCAAAGCACTATCTCTAGAATATGTAAAGAACTAAAAAATCTTAACACCTAAAAAAGAAATAACTCAATCAAAAATGGGTCAAGGAACTGAACAGACACTTCTCAGAAGAAGATACACAATCAATCAAATATATGAAAAAATGTTCAATATCTCTAGCAATTAGAGAAATGCAAATCAAAACTACTCTAGGATTTCATCTCACTCCAGTCAGAATGGCAGGTATTAAGGATACAAACAATAATAACTGCTGGCGAGGATGGTGGGGAAAAGGCCCACTCATACACTGCTGGTGGGATTGCAAAATAGTGCAGCCAATATGGAAAGCAGTATGGAGATTTCTTGGAAAACTGGGAATGGAACCACTGTTTGACCCAGCTATGTCCCCAAAGGACTTCAAAACAGCATACTACAGGGACACAGCACAATTCACAACAGCTAAACTGTGGAACCAACCTAGATGCCCTTCAGTAGATGAATGGATAAAGAAAATGTGATATATATACACAATGGAATATTATTCAGCATTGAAAGAGAATAAAATCATGGCATTTGCAGGCAAATGGATGGAGCTGGAGAATATAATGCTAAGTGAAATTAGCCAATCCCAAAAAATCAAATGCCGAATGGTTTCTCTGGCTTAAGGATGCTGATTCATAATATGCTGCAGCAGGGGTGATGGGAAGATTAAATGAACTCTAGATAGGGCAAAGGGGAAAGGGGAGGGAGGCAAAGGGAGAGGGCAGAGGAGTAGGAAAGATGGTGGAATGCGATGGTCATCGTGACCCTAAGTACATATATGAGGACATGAAGGATGTGACTCTACTTTGTGTACAACCAGAGATATGTAAAATTGTGCTCTATATGTGTAATATGAATTATAATGTGTTCTCTTGTCATATATATCATTAAAATAACAAAAGAATGTTCAATTTTCAAGAATAAGAAAACGTAACTACTGAATGATAAAGATATAAACAGCTGACTGGTTTTAGTAAAAAGCATTTGTGTGACATTTTTTAGACTCATGTACCATTTACAAAGGGAAATCAATTTTATTCGTGGCTAAACAGTTATTTTTTTAAATTTTTTTTAATTTATTTTTTTTATTGGTTGTTCAAAACATTATAAAGCTCTTGACATATCATATTTCATACATTAGATTCGAGTTGGTTATGAACTCCCAATTTTACCCCAAATATAGATTGCAGAATCACATCGGTTACACATCTACATTTTTACATAATGCCCTATTAGTAACTGTTGTATTCTGCTGCCTTTCCTATCCTCTACTATCCCCCCTCCCTCCCCTCCCATCTTCTCTCTCTACCCCATCCACTGTAATTCATTTCTCTCCTTGTTTATTTTCCCATTCCCCTCACAACCTCTTATATGTAATTTTGTATAACAATGAGGGTCTCCCTCCATTACCATGCAATTTCCCTTTTCTCTCCCTTTCCCTCCCACCTCATGTATCTGTTTAATGTTAATCTTTTCTTCCTGCTCTTCCTCCCTGCTCTGTTCTTAGTTGCTCTCATTATATCAAAGAAGACATTTGGTATTTGTTTTTTAGGGATTGGCTAGCTTCACTAAGCATAATCTGCTCTAGTGTCATCCATTTCCCTGCAAATTCCATGATTTTGTCATTTTTTAGTGCTGCGTAATACTCCATGGTGTATAAATGCCACATTTTTTTTATCCATTCATCTATTGAAGGGCATCTGGGTTGGTTCCACAGTCTAGCAATTGTGAATTGTTTTTTAATTTTAATAATTTTTAAAAATTTATGTATGACAGTGGAAAGCATTACACATGTAGAACATAATTTTTCATATTTCTGGTTGTATATAAAGTATGTTCACACCAATTTGTGTCTTCATACATGTACTTTGGATAATAATGTCCATCACATTCCACCATCATTTCTAATCCCATGCCCCCTCCCTCCCTTCCTACTTCTCTTCCCTATCTAGAGTTTGTCTGTTCGCCCATGCTACCCCTCCTTACCCCACTATGAATCAGCCTCCTTATAAACATTTGGCATTTGTTTTTATGGGATTGGCTAACTTCACTTAGTATTATCTTCTCTAACTCCATTTACCTGCAAATGCCATGATTTTATTCTCTTTTATTGCTGAGTAATATTTCATTGTGTATATATGCCACATTTTTCTTATCCATTCATCTATAAACAGTTATTTTAAAAGTTTGTAAGATCTTCAACATTTAGAACCATTTAAAGTTCTGGTTAAGAATAGGAATATAGTTGTCCCATGCGAAATTCGTTCCAGGATCTCTGTGCATATCAAAATCTGTGGATGCTCAATTCTCTTATATAATGAAATGGATAGTATTTGCATATAATTCCACACACATGTTCCCATGTACTTTTAAGTCATTTCTAGGTTACTTATAATACCTAATAAATACAAAAGTTATGTAAATTGTTCTTGTACTATATGTTGCTTAGAGAATAATGATGAAATCAGTACATGATTAGTGTAGAGACAAAACTTTTTTTGGTCTGTGGTTGGTTGTGTCTGCAAATGTGGAACCATGGATAGGAATTGCTGACTGTATATTTCCCAGCTGCCTCTCAGCTCTTTGTTATTTTGTTTTTGTTTTGGGGGGTCATTTTTATTACATTTCCAATGTCATATCTTTTTTTTTTTTTTTTGTTAGTTTTTTTGTTTGTTTTTTTGGTGCTGGGGCTCGAACCCAGGGCCTTGTGCATGCAAGGCAAGCACTCTACCAACTGAGCTATAGCCCAAGCCCCCAATGCCATATCTTTTTTAACATCTATTCTTTTTAATAATTCTGAAAATGTATCTCTCTTTATTTCTTTTTTCAATAGTAGCAACTAAAATGACTGGTGGTAGCAGTTGTAGACCCAGAACAATCACATAGTAATTTCAACAGGGAAACTTTAATATGAAGAATTATTACCAATAAAACGGGATCAGAATAATAAGGGCTTGTCTATTAGAATGTTTAAAAGACTTGAAAATATTACAGAAATAACAGATATAGTGAGCCACTGCTGAGATAAACTATTTAAAGAAATGCCCCCTCTCTCTAATGCTGACATCTGGACCTTTGTTGGAAAGGGCATGATATGGCTCATTGGGTGGCAGAGCAGTTGCTGTAATGCTATGCTAGTGGAACTAGGGGGCGTTCCCTTGGAACTTGTTGGAATATCTCCTCTAGGGCACTGTCCTACAGCCTGTCTCAGGACTTGGGGAGATGGTATTGCAGGAGACGCAGGTGACTGCTAGGTACTGCAGAGTTTATGTGGGAGCTTGTCATAGCTGACCACCTTGCAGCTCTCCACACTGTCTCGGGCACTGTGGAACCTGTGCATGTCTCAGAGCCGGCTCAGGGGAGGACATCAGGAAAGGAAAGGAACTCTTCTCCCTTGCAGAGCTTCCTGTTATCGGAGCTTACAATACGCCAACTTACAAAGGAAACACACTTAACTGGGCCAGATCCACTGTGTAGTCTGTAGAAATAAAAGGTAAATTTGGAGTTGAGAGGCAGTAATTTGATACGTGGCACAGTAGTTGTACCGGTGTGTCTTTTTTGGTACTACTTCAGCATGAGCTTTATTTCATTTATATTTAGGTCTCTGAATGAAGAAGAGTTCCATGGTAATTTTTAATTGCATTATTATTAGTATAATGGTATATGTAGGCTTGTGTTAGTTTTCTATCACTCGTGCCAAGTTATTTAAGTTTTCCAAACCATTTTCCTTTTACATAAATTAAGAATCACAATTTCATGTCTAAAATCTTTTCTAAGATAAATATTTTATATTTCTGTTGCTCTCTGCCTTGTGAAAAATTTTTGTTTATTTATTTAGGTTAGATAGTGGTACATGAACAGGCCTGGCTGGCTGTTCTAGCTGGATCTTGCAAGGTACTTCGAAATTTGCTTATAGGTTCACAGAACCTATTCATCAGCTGAGTAGTTTAAGAAATGATTTTATCAGTTTATAGTGACTAGATTATAATCTGGTTAAATAAACTATGACATCACACTGAGTTTTAATTATAATCATGTTTTGATTTTTATTGGTGCTTAGTTCTTGAGTTCACATAAAGAGGATATATACAACTTTCTGTATTGGTGAAAATGTTTAATACCACCAGTTTTACAGACTATAATATATGAGTGACTTACAGGAAGTTAGCTACTTGAAAACCTTAGACTAAGGAGTTATAGCCGTATGAGTGACTTACACATAGCTACTACTGTAAACCACCCTAATGTGTCAACAGGGTTAAAGACTGTGGTATCTATCTTATTTCAAGGACTTCACATTAATTTTTCTATTTATTTCATGACATCAATGGCAGGTTAGTTCTTTTATAGTATCTTTCTCAATTTGGATTTTTCTGGTTGATCTTCATGAGTAGATTCAGAGTAAATATTTTTGTTGAGAATCCCCCACAGGTGGTATGTGATATTGGCTTGACTTCTTATTGGTGATGTTAGATTTGATCCCTCCATTGGGTTACCCTTTGAAACTAATAGCTATCCTGTGAGATGGTTTATTGAAACTGTGTGAATATTCTTTCCCAGGCCTTTCATTTGGCAGTTTTCATTTGATGACTCCTATCTGAATCAATTTTTATGAAAGAGCAATTTTAAAAATTGTCATTCCTTCTATTTATTTATTTAATTAGGAAGGGAATTGAACCCTGGGCCTCATACATGATAGACAAAACACTATCACTTAACTATACTCCCAAGCATGGCCTTCTACATTTATTAGTTTATATTTGTGTTGGTCAGCTTTCTGCCATTGTGAGCGATTACTTGAGATAACCAACTTATACAAAGAAAAGGTTTATTTTGTCTTACAGTTTTGGAGATTTCTTTTCATGGTTGTTTGGACCTCTGGTGAGCATGTGGAAGAGCAAAGCCTCTTTCTTAACTTCATAACCAAGAAGTTGAGAAGAGGAATTACAGACCAGGGTCTACAATAGTCTTTAAGAGACACGCTGTCAGGGAACTGAGGACCTCCAGAAGGCCCACCTGTGGAAGGTGCTACCACTTCCCAGTAGCTCCACTCTCACACATGGGCCTTTGGAAGACATCAGAGTTCAACCTAGAGCAACATTCTGTAAATACAACATTTTTGTTCCTGTCACCTTTTTTTAAAAAAAAAAAAAAAAGCAACTAATGGACTTAACAGATTTTATTTTTTTTCAATGTGTTGTGATTTATCAATGTTTTTTTTTTTTTTTTTTTTTTTGCGGGGGTGGGGGATGCTCAAATTATCACAAATTTATTCCATGGGACAAAACCAAGCTCTGTTGTTTTGTTTTCCCCAGTTTTTTCACAGTCACAGCAGATGCTCCTGTTTACCTTGTATACATCATTGTCTACCCATTGTGGAAATATGCCTGTTTATTCAACTAGTTTCTTGTTTTTTCTATTGAAAATAAAATTCAATAAGTAACTCTGTGTGAGTGTGTGTGTGTGTGTGTGTGTGTGTGTGAGATATTGTTTGAGGTACACTTTGTGCTTTGAGTTTCCTAATTTCTCCCCACTGGGGGTGTACCATTTAGCACCCCACTAGCCATGGTTAAGAACCTGTTTTCCACAGGCTCACTTGTCAAGCTTTTGAATTTTTGCCAAGTTCTGTTAAGAGAGAATTAGTATCTTTGTGTAATATTAATTTGCATTTCTCTTACGAAAAAGGAGTATTTTTCTGTATTTTTTTAAGGGTTATTTGTGTATCTGCAGATTTTCGATTTAGATCTTTTGCCCATCTTTGAGGGAAAAAAAAATCAGGTCTTGTTGGTTATTTTTCCTTCCAAATTTTAGTGCTAGGGGAATTTTTCCTTTATTTGCAGTGTATGTTAAATATATTAAAATTTTAAACTTTATATCTGTTACAGTAATTTTGGTCTTCATAATATAAGTAAGTTATTGGAACTTCTGCTATAGCCTCATCTGTACCATTTTGTTACTTTGACAATGAGTGATTTAAATTCAGTTTGTTTATCCTAAAAGGGAATAACTTAATCATCCAGCATCCCGTCAATATCAAAAGTCAGTCCAAATAGTTCTTTCTTAGTAGTTTTATGATTGAGTGAAATAAACCATGTAAGTGGAAAATGCACATTTGCTTTTCATGGCACTGTTCACATTGATGATAGGCAGTCTTCCCATCTCAGAGGGAAAAATATGTGAGATTCTGATTCTAATTATGATAGTTGGGAATTAAAGGATAATCTTTTGTTGAGATGAGAATGTTAATGAGAATTTATTACTTGTGATTATATTAAATATGAATTTCTTCCTAGGAAAAATTAATTACAACTACTTTCTCTGCGTGTTTTAGGTTTTGACGACAATTCGTTCAGGGCATCGAGCAAATATATTTAGTGCAAAGTTCTTACCATGCACAAATGATAAGCAGATTGTATCCTGTTCTGGAGATGGAGTAATATTTTATACAAATGTTGAGCAAGATGCAGAAACCAACAGACAATGCCAGTTTACATGCCATTATGGAACTACATATGAGGTACAGTGTTAGGATATCCATTCTATCTGTGGAAATGTTATGTTTTTGAATAAGAATGTGAGATGTGTGTGCATGTATATACACATAGATGTGTATATATAGGTACATATTCATGATAGATTAGAATTCAGCAAGCATTTGAGAAAATTTATCTTGATAGACTTGTGGATAAAGTTAAGAAATAAGATGCACGTAATAGTCTTATGAGATGGTTTGTAATTGCTTGAGCAAACATACTTTAAGGAAACAGATGCCAGCACTTTAAGGTTGCCTCTGTTACTGCGCTACATGGCTCTGCATTAGGTTTTAACCTCTCAAATACTTTTATCATGTGCTTTTGTAAAGTCACTGGTAGCAAACTTACTGTGTACGTTTGTTTCTGTTGCTAATAACACTGGGTAGATTATAAAGAGAAGAATTTTACTTGACTGATGGGTGTATATTTGGAGGTGCTGCCTTTCTGGCAGAGTCCTGAGGCACTGCCTTTCTGGCAGAGTCCTGAGGCACTGCAGGTTTTCATATGGCAGTAGACAGGGAACACCTGCATACACATATGTACATGGGTATTGTGGTCTTATAAAACCACCAGCACTCAATCGGGGTTGCATCTTAATGGCCTGATCTAATCCCATTTATACCTCTTCAATACCTCTACCTCTAACAGTCATGGTTGGAACTAAATTTCTACCCTCTTACTACTCAGAATGGGGATTAAATTCAAACACATGAAATCCTGGAATTCAGAGAACTATATATCAAGATCGTAGCATTTATCAAATTTTCACATTAGAAGAAATACTAGTAGGCCAAAAAAGAAAAAAAAAAAAAAGAGGGAGAGATTTGTGGAATATCTGTTTATAAACTCAAACCTTGAGCTGAACTGAATGAGGTAGAGTGATTTATGACTCAGTTTATACTTCTTAATTTAGTTCAGAAATATCACTCACAGCACCTAGTGCACTTTTAAAATGTTTGCTTCTGATTTCTTTATATCAAAAACAATTAACCTGTTAATTGTTTTCCATCATTTGAATTTCAGTTCTTTTATATTATGTTTTGGTGTTTGCTTATATCAATAACAGGGAACTGGGTATTGTTTTTTACCCATTCTCAAAATTTTGACCCATCTTTGGAAATTTTAGTCAACTTAAAATTATGGTGAATACTGATACATTTGGGTCTATTTATGTGTCTTATTGTATGGGGTTTGTTTTGTTTTTGTGGGGCTGGGACTTGAACACAGGGCCTTGAATGTGCTGGGCAAGTACTGTACCACTGAGCCACACCCCTACTCTGTGTGTGTTTTCCAGTTTTCCTCTATTGATGGCATCTCCTTTTTTCATCCACTTTTCAAAGTGCTTGGAGGTCTTTCCTTTTGTCTGTTTTGTTCTGCTACTTGCTTAGAAGGTGGACATGCGTGTCTTTTATTCTGGAGGTTGCCTCGTTTGGTTTCTCAGGAATATTTGACAAAGCCTAAAGTCAGTATCCTCATACTTTCTCCTAAATGAAGGACTGTAAAATAGCTCTTATTTAATTTTAAATAATTATGTTGTTCAGAACTTGGTTATATTCTGTTTTCTTTCATGAAGTAGACAGTATCATTGTTCACTAGTCAGTGTTTAGGTTTACCTTTGTATTTACAAGATAAATACCTTTGACTCATCATTCCTGATCTTTTTGTTCTTTAAAGTAAACCATTTGGCAGTACCTTTACTGGTACTTTTTTGATAAAAAATGATTTTAATTTCCTTTTCTTTTCTGTTATTTGTTGGAAAATGTCCTCTTTCTCCTCCTCACCCCCAATACCAGCTCTTGAAAGGCAGTTTTTCCAAGTACAGCCTTTGTTTGATGTTATTCTGTTCCAGGTGATAGCCTTAGTGTTCTGAGTTTCATTGTTTGAGGTCACAAAGTTAGCTTTCAATCTAATTGTGCTTCCTTTATAGGTGTTCGTTCTCTCTCTCTCTCTCTCTTATTTTTTTAACTATTTTCAGTTCTTTTTTTTTTTTTTTTTTTTTTGGCTAGTTCTTTTGTATGTCACAACAATGTATCTTAGTATGGAATTTTCCCCCCATACTAGGGATTTATTGATGTTCTCATGTCATAAATTGGCATCTTCAATAATATGGGAAATTTGTAGTCAATAATAAGTCTTTGGTTATTTTATTTACTTTGTGCTGGAATTTTGATTAGCTGTATATTAGACCTTCTTCTATCCATTGTTCTGAATTTTTGAAATTGAGGGGCTGTGGTTGTAGCTCAGTGGTAGAGGGCTTGCCTAACATGTGTGAGGCACTGGGTTTGATTCTCAGCACCACTTAAAAATGAATAAAAAAACTAAAGGTATAAAAAATGTTGTATCTGTTTATAAAAAAAAAAAAACACATTGAGAAAAGGCACATAAATCCTAAATATAGGGGGCTGGAGTTGTGGCTCAGTGGTAGAGCATTTGCCTAGCATGTGTGAAGCACTGGGTTTGACTCTCAGCACTGCATAGAAATAAATAAAAAAAGGTCCATCAACACCTAAAAAAATATTTAAAAAAATTTTTTTGTAGTTGTGTATGGACAGAATACCTTTGTTAATTTTTATGCAGTACTAACGATTGAACTCTTCACACATGCTAGGCAAGTGCTCTGCCACTGAGCCACAGTCCCAGCCCTAAAAAAAAAAAAAGAAAATTAAAAAAAAAATCGAAATGTATTGCTCAGTGAATTTGAATTATCACAAAACAAATCTGTTCATGTAACTGTCACCTAGAACTGTAGAACATGTAGCATGCCAGAAGCTCCCTCATCCTGACCTCTAAACCTCTAAATTTTTAAGTTTTAACACACCTTTGTTTTTCTGTTTTTGATCTTTATAGAAATAAAAACAGGATGGTTTTTTTCTTTCTTTCATTTTCTTTTTTTTTTGGCCTTTTTCCTTTTTCTCTTGGTGCATGGGATTGAACTTGAGTATCATGCATATTAGGCAGACATTCTGCCACTGAGCCGCATCCCATTTCTGGCTCTGTTGTTTAAAAAACTGTTATTTTTGTGTCCGGCTTCTTTCACAAAGCTTTGAGATTCATCCTTGTTGATGATGATAGTGATGATTTGTTTTTTTAGTTTTTGGGTTTTTTTTTTTTTTTTTTAAATGGTACTAGGGATTGAACCCAGTGTCTTGTGCATGCGAGGCAAGCACTCTACCAACTGAGCTATATCCCCAGCCCAGATTTGTTCATTTTTATTGCTTATGTAGTATTTTATTTTAGAAGTAGATTATAGTTACTGTTCCCATTCTGTTGTTGGATAATTCAGTTTGTTTCAATCATTTGAGTAATTTGAACAGTGTTACTATGAACATTCTAGTGCATATCTTTAAGTGGCTCTGTGCAGACATTTATTTTTAGTGGAATTGCTAGGTTACAAGAGAGGCATATGAACAACCTTTAATTGATATTGACATATGGTTTTCCATTCTGTGTGTGTGTGTGTGTGTATTTATTTCTGTACCCTTTGTGTCTGAACCCTTTTGTACTTCCATTAACAGTGTTTATTTTTCCAGTTTCTCCATATACACATCAATACTCAGTATTATCTGTCTCTTTCATTTTGGCTGTACTGGTGGTATGTTGTAGTATTTCCAGGTGGTGCTAATTTGTATTTTTGATGCATGAATGAGTTTAACACTTTTTTGTGTACACAGTGTTTAAAAACAGAAAAATATCTTCCATGTATGGGAATGCTAAATACCCAAGATTGATAGTATGTATTTCTAGATATGGAGGGAAAGGGGAATTTTCTGCTAGACTTCACAGAGGACATTAACTTACATTATTGTCATAGCTAAGTTAGAAGTGGTTACAGGAACATCTAAATTATTCTTAACTTTTTGAAAATGTTTTTATTGTGGTGAAATACATATAATATAAAATTCTTCATGGTAGCCATATTTTGTGTATAGTACAGTGCCATTAATGTTGTTGTGTAACTGTCACACTATGTAAGATTCTTTTTGAGAGTTCAGTTTATCAGCGTTAATCATTTCAGCATTCCCCAGTAATTTTTTTTAGCATCAGAGAGAACATTTATCATATACTTATAATATAATGATAATTTTATTAGAAAAAGACATAAAAATTAGTTTTGGAATTGTTTGAACTAGTTAGCTAGTGGAGAATCTTTGAAGCTGGAGATTATTATCAAAGTTGATAAAAGCTTATAATATTAACTTTCTGTCTAAAGTGTATTATTCTGATTCATGGTGTAGGTAAGTCATAATTAGTTAAAATGAATGAATTTTAACTTAATGCTTTTAACTTAATTGTTTCATAAAATAATAGCAGTATGTTTTGAAGCCACCTGTTTCAATGTTCAATAAGGTTTTCTGTACTTCCATTTCTGTCTTCAGATCATGACTGTACCCAATGACCCTTACACTTTCCTGTCTTGTGGTGAAGACGGAACTGTTAGGTGGTTTGACACACGCATCAAAACTAGCTGCACAAAAGAAGATTGCAAAGATGTAAGAATCCAGTTTTTGTAGAAATGATGAAGAAAAGTTATGGTTATAATTACATTTGCACAATAATTTATCTTTGGGTGATTCAGGGTGAACTTTAAAACATTTCTCTAACATCTTCAATCATAAAATTTCTTAAATAAGGTATTTTTAATGAAGTTGAAGAACTTATATTTTAACTGCATATTTTTTAAGTATATCTGTTAACTGGACTTTGTGGGGCATGCCTGTAATCCCAGTGGCTCCAGAGGCTGATGCAGTAGGATTGCAGGTCCAAAGCCACCTTCAGAAATTTAGCAAGGCCCTAGGTAACTTAGCAAGCCCTACCACAAAATAAGAAATAAAAAGGGCTGGAAATGTTGCTCAGTGGTTAAGCACCCCTGGGTTCATCCCTGGTGTGTGTGTGTGTTTGTGTGTGTGTGTGTTTGTGTGTGTGTGTGTGTGACAATTTGTATAATTATTTAGCATATACTCTAGTATTGAAACTTGGAGAATTTGTCAATATCTCTGATTTACTCATGTAGACCATTTTGGTTAATCAAAATACCAGTGATAAAAGCTTATGTAAGTTCAGTATTTTCCCTCCAGTCCCCAATCTTTTAAAACAAGAATTATGTTATTTTTTTGAAAGAAAAAAGTCTGTCAACATGTTCATTCAAATTTAGCTCACTTCTCTAAAAGATATAGCATTATTTTCAATATTTGACTTTTCAGTACTATTTTAAACTTATATAAGCTCTGAGAAGTCATTCAGTCTTTTGGCCCACACTGTTAACTCCAAGTGTTGTTATTTGTCAAGCATTAGTTAGAGCACTATAGCTTTTTCTTGGATTTTTTTTCCCCCTCCTTCCAATACTGGGAATTTAATCCTGGGCCTTGTTCATGCTAGCCAAGTACTTACTCTACCACTGAACCGAATCCCTAGCCGTTGATTGTTTTGAAGAAGTAAATGAAAATAAAAAGTGTTACGCAGTTTCTGTTTACTGAAAGTTAACAAAAACAAGAATACTAGTAATAAAATTAAGTGTTGCTAACTGAACAAGTTACCGTAATTAATATGGTTTAGGAATGAAAAGATTGTTAATGTATTTGAAAAATATAATAGAAAACAAGAAGTAGAAATTGAAAAAATCTTAAATATACAAATTTAATCAGTTTTGGTTTCATATATGCATGTGTGTATTTTTGCATAAACATACATAAGCAAATAGGAACTGGAGGCAGAATTCAGCTTAACATATCAGACTGTGGGAGCATTTGCAATACCTGTTTCTTAAAAATGTGCTTGATACTAAAATCTATTATTTCAAGTTCTTTTAAACTTTATTATAGGAGGATTTAGTTATGCTTTTCTAAACCAAATTTTCATGAAATAGAATAACCAGAGGAATTAACTACTAACAACTTAGAATTAGGAAAGGCACTGGTAAATCTCTTCTGGGTAATAATATTTTGAGGTTAATAAGCAAAGTTTAAGGTAAATTAACAAAGTGTGGCTATCCTGAATAGAGTAAAGAGCTTGAGTCATTAGCCGAAGTAATATGAAATCAACAGTGTACCTTACACACATATTTTTAAGGTGGTGGCACTTATATTTTCTAATGCATCTATAGATGTAAGAAGTTCCTTTATAGTAAGGTCTATCTTACTATAGAAGGGTTTGTATTTATTCATGTGCTGTTTCAGTTTTCAGCTGGTATGGAGAAAAGATTTTACCACTTGAGAAAACTTTGGAAATTTAAAATCAATTCAGAATATTTTGTTGTATTTTATTAACAATGGATTATAGTTAAATATTATGAGTTTCATGTACTCATGAACACTTCTCAGACAAAAGCAAAGCAGATCATACTTCTACCTTTACTCTCAAGTGGACCAGGCATTTCTAATGGTATTAATGGCTTAGCCATCCATTACTAGGTAGTGTATGAATATTTTACATTTATAAATGCATGCTTATTGTTCATGAGCATGGGAATGTTTAGCAGGCACATCAGATAAGTATTATTATCATATGAAATATAGCTAGCTTTGAAGAAGAGGTTTCAATTATAGTAATGTAAATTTCTTGAATTATTCTCTTTGTAACAGCTGATGATCTGATGTCATTGCTTAGTGTTTTGTATATTTGAGCTAATTTTAATTTGCCCTCTTCCCAATATATTTTATATTACTCAAATAGTGATAGTTTTTTAAAATCTAAGGTTAGTGTTCTCTGTTATTATTTTGATTGTTTTTACAGTACTGTCAATCAGTTTTGAAATTGCTTATCAAGCTGTAAAGAAAAAAGTGATCTTTAGATTCATAAAGTGTTAAAAAGGAATACTAACTATTTTTGGGGGGTTTCATATAGGACAAGTGTTTAGAAAGTAATTTTTAATAGAAACCTAAGAAATATATTAAAAGGAAACCTCTTTCCCCTCTTTTTGTTTTGCTGGTTTTATTAGAACTTCTGAGAAAAGTTATTTTCTTATTTAAGGGGAAAATGTTTTAAATATGGTATCATTGTTACTGTGTAGCTATATGTATTGGATATTGTCTTATCTTTTTTAGGACATTTTAATTAACTGTCGCCGTGCTGCCACATCTGTAGCTATTTGTCCACCAGTACCATATTATCTTGCTGTTGGCTGTTCGGATAGCTCAGTACGAATATATGATCGACGAATGCTGGGCACAAGAGCCACAGGTAGGGGGATTATAGAGAATATAAAGGACTGTCATTTCAAAGAACAAATCTTTATGAAATTTTCCATTAAAAGTTTTTGTTATAAACTTTCAAGAAATACAACATAGTTAAATAATATAGATTATTGTGTTTCTAAAAAAGCATCAAGTTTTTAAGACCCTTTGGGGATGATACTTTTAGTTTCATTTAAAAAAAAATTCTTTAACACTTTATGTATTAGTTTCCCAAAAATGCCATAATAAATCACCATATAATGAGTCTCTTAAAAGAAATTTATTGTCTTACGTTTTTGGAAGCTGGACATCTAGAATCAAGATGTCTCATGTTTTGTTTCTGTTGAAGACTCAGGAAAAATCTGTTCATGCCTCCCCCTCTAGATTCTGGTGATTGCTGCCAATTCTTGGCATTGCTTGGTTTGTTGGGTGTATCACTTCAGTCTCAGTTTCCATCTTTACATTCTATTCTCCTCTGTTTTCTGTGTCCAGGTTTCACTCTTTTTAGGACATGAGCCACATTGAATTTAGGGTCTGTCTAATCCAGTATAATTCATGTCATGTAATTACATCAACCAAGACCCTGTTTGCAAAAAAGATTACATTCTGAGGTTCTGGGTAAACATGAATTTTAGGAGTACTCTGCTGTTTTTCAGTCAAGAGGACTCATGTTAAACATAGTAGGGTAAAAGAAAGATGAGTGACTTGGGTATTTATTATTGTATAGCATATATTTTTGCCTACCTATCTTCAAGTGCTATTAGTGATGCTGCAGCATTCTTTTGTTGTTGTTTTGGTGCTGGGAAGTGAACACAGGGGCACTCACTGAGCCCCATCCCCTGCCCCATTTTGTATTTTATTGAGAGACAAGGTCTCAATTAGTTGCTTAGTGCCTCGCTTTTGCTGAGGCTGGCTTTGACCTCGCAATCCTCCTGACTCAGCCTCCTGAGCCACTGGGATTATAGGCGTGCACCACTGCGCTTGGCTAATCCAGTGCTTTTTCTCCTCATCCAGCATGATATCAGACCACTACTAGAATAAACAATTGAAAGCCAAATTCCATTAGCATTTTCTCAATAAAGGAAGGCCAGAATTAGTTTTAAGCATATACATACATAAACATGAGTATCAAATACACACACACACACACACACATATTCACATGTTTTAAACTGTGTGAAAAATAAAGTTGTCCTTGGGCAGAAACCAAGAGTGTCTTTTTTTTTAACATCATGGGCAGATTTATTTGGGTTTGTTTGTTTGCTTTTGACTCCATTACATACTCATGGAAGGTGGTGAAGTACTCCACCAGGAGAAGTTTGATGTTGACAGACTTCTGGTGACAGCAAGACTATGTCAGCACAATGATGCTAGTATTAATAGATTATGAAATGGGAATATTAGATGAGAGTTCTCCTGTTTTGAACTATGTCCTGTCAGTGTGGGTAGGCATATTTGGGGGAAACAGTAGTAGTAACAGGATATGAAATTGTAGGTATTATTATTATTATTTAGCTATAGTTGGACACAATACCTTTATTTTATTAAAATAAAGCCACAATCCCAGCCCCTAATTATTGTTCTTAACAGATGGGAAACAACTGACAATTTTGAGCAGGACAGCACTTGATTGTGCACGTTTACATAGCTTTGTGGGGTTCTTGGAAGTCAGTATTCCTGGACCTCTAGGCCACAAAGTACCAGTTGTCCCTCCCTGTCATACCGAATTGTATTAAAGGCTACTGAAGTTGTTAAAATTGGAATCATAAGCTACTTAATATGCTACTAGAGGAAAGTAATTTTCCTGTTGTAGAATTTATGTTATTTTAGTTTGAGGGGAATTTTTGGAAGATGACTTTGTATAACCATGATCATGAACAAATTTATTAAATAACTGATATTTAAACAGAACATTTGTATGATTTGGAATTCCAGATAATCATGAATTTTTTTGTAGATGTTATCTTTATTTGGTATTCTTTTTTTGTTATAAACTCTTGATAAAGCAACCCTATTCTAGATAATAAATGTGATAGCTTTAGATTTATATAGCTACAGTAAATCACATATTTCATAATTCAGGTTAAGAGTTTTAAGATGTTTTAAATAACACCCTCTTTTCTTAGGGAATTATGCAGGTCGAGGGACTACTGGAATGGTTGCCCGTTTTATTCCTTCCCATCTTAATAATAAGTCCTGCAGAGTGACATCTCTGTGTTACAGTGAAGATGGTCAAGAGATTCTCGTTAGTTACTCTTCAGACTACATATATCTTTTTGACCCAAAAGATGATACAGCACGAGAACTTAAAACTCCTTCTGCAGAAGAGAGACGTGAAGAGGTAGGTTTGCTCAAAACCATATTCTTTATTCAGTTAAGAAAATACTGATTGTGTTATTTCTGAGGCCTAAAAGCCGAATATATACACACAAACATACATGCATACATATATACATGGATCACTTATAAGGCACTTTGGGTTTAGGGAACAAGAACACAAAACACACCTGAAAGCACAGGGCTAATGAATGCGAAGGTGACTCTAGAGAAAAGTTTTTGTTTTTTTTTTTTAATAAAATATTTAAGCCAGGAAATGTGTTGCATACCTGTCTTCCTGGTGACTTGGGAGAATGAGGCCAGCCTGGACAACTTAGTGAGAATCTGTCTCAAACATGAAAAGGGCTGGGGTTGTAGCTTGGTGGTAGAGTGCTTGCCTCACATGCGTGAGGCCCTGGGTTCCATCCTCAGCACCACATTAAAAAAAAAAAAAAAAAATTAAAAAATAATGATATTGTGTCCATTTAAAAAAAAAAAAAAGAAGTCGTTTTAAAAAATAAAATTGTTTTCTTTAACCTTGTTAAATTTCTTTCCATATATTGTTTTTCACTTTGGATTTTGTATTTTATAACGTCCCAACTATTCACCCTATAGTTTGGCTGGTGAATGTCTTTTGAAATAAACATTGATTTTTATCAGTAGTGATTTAGGTATTGTCACAGTGCCCATTAGGAACATATTTTAAAGGTTACTGAACAGTAGCAATTTTGCAATTCCTATGAGATGCAAAACTAAACTCAGTGTTATTGTTGTTTGCACCAGGGATTGAACCCAGGAGTACTTAACCACCAAATCATATCCCAGCCCTTTTATATATTTTATTAGAGAGAGGTCTCATTGAGTTGCTCAGGGCCTTACTAAATTTCTGAGGCTGGGTTTGATCTCTGAATCCTCCTGCCTTGGCCTCCTGAGTCCCTGGGATTACAAGCATGCACCACCGTGCCCAGCTAAACTCAGTTTTTCTAATTTCTTTATAAATCTGTTTTAGGATTTTAAATGTGAAAGTGCATTGTGTGAATTAGAAAGTTGACAAAGAAGGAGGGTATGTATGATGGCTAATGAAAGTTATTTATGAGTTTATTGGACTTGTTGAAAACACAGAATCTGCCTTGTCATTCTGTTGTTGCTTCTAACTTTCCCCTTGCAATTTGTGGGTAAGTTATAGTCAGCTTTGCACCTGTAAGATGACTGGAGAGTTGGAAGTGCACAGATCTGTAAGTGGGCCAACCGGCTCGACTGCCAGAGTCCTTGGCCTGAAGATACTTATGTCATCAGAGTGAGTGAGTGGTGCTGAGTCATGAACAGGTTCTTTTCCTCAACATGTTTTTCTCAGTAATCTTTGTTGAATTAACTAAATAAGAAAAACAATTCTAAAATTGGAGTAAAATTATAAAAAAACCAATCCTACTTATAACAAAGTAAATGATTAGAGGATGTATATAGACAGAATTAATGATTCTTCCTGTTAATTTCAAATTTTATACTAAACCCTGACAGCAGTATTGAGACCAACTATTCTTAACTCACCAAAGGTTTATTGGGTGCCTACTGTACACAAGTTCTACATTCTACTCTGGAGAATTAAGGAGGACTGCGTAGGCATGGCCCTTACTCAGGGAGTTTGTTATCCAGTGAAGTATGCATATAAATAAATACATAAGAAATTGAATTCTAAAACTCAAATAGTAAAATTGTATTTATAAATACTGTGTTCTGTAAAAGAAGAAAAAGGGAGAAAATAATTGAGTGAAAACATGAGTAAAGGCAGTTTTTAAAGCATGAATAATAGTTTCTGATTTGTTTTCCTTTGTTTCCATATATTTGTGTATTTCTTAATTTGTTGGGGCCTCTTTATTTCCTCATGCCTTCTAAGAATTTTATATTTTGTATTTTTTTCCCTCAGTTTTATTTTTGCATTTTTTCTTTTTATCGTCTTTCTTCTTTTCCTCCAGTATCTTTTTGGCATTTCCCTGCCTGATGAACTTCTTTTTTAAATCCATTCTCTCCTTTTCTCCTGTTATTGGCAACCTTTCTCTGAAAATATATCCCAGAGGACTACTGCTTACCGTCCCGACCACACTACTGCCATGATGACAGGCATGAAAGTCTTTTTCCTCCATCATTTGTGTCTTTCTAACCAGTCTTTCTACTTTCACCTGCACGGTCCTTTAGTTACACAGCAGCCTCGTGATCTTTGAGACATGGGCCATGTTGTGTTGCTTTTCTGATCAGTGTGCCAGTGGCTCCCCATCTCCCAGCAAAGCCACGCTGAGGTCCTTTAAGACCTAATATTAAAAGTGCACATTTCTGCTCTTATTGATCTTGGCTCTACCCACATCCACCTACTTAGCAGCAGACAGGCTGAGCATGCTTCTGCCTTTGCGCTTTGGTATTTGCTCTCCCTGAAATGCTCCTTCCCACATACCTGGGTTTTCCAAACCTCTGTGTTTATCAGGTCTTTGCTGTGACCATCTTCTTAGGGGTCATAATCTGCTCAAGAGGAGAGTAAATTCTATGACAATGGGAATTTTTTTCTATTTTATTCATTGTTTTTTTTCTGGATCTGGAATAGTACTCTTTTCTTTTTTAAAGAGAGAGAGAGAGATTTTTAATATTTATTTTTTAGTTATCTGCGGACGCAACATCTTTGTTTGTATGTGGTGCTGAGGATCGAACCCGGGCCGCACGCACACCAGGCGAGCGCGCTACTGCTTGAGCCACATCCCCAGCCCTGGAATAGTACTCGCTCCAAGATCTATAACAGTAAATTTTCTAACATCTATAATAGTACATAAAAGGTGATCAAAAATATTTGTTTACTGACTGAATAAATGTTGTGCCATTTCAGTCCTCTTGACTAGGTTATTTCACATATTCTTCTCCATATCAGACTTGTTATTTTTAATTTGAAAAGATTTTGTTCTAGGGCTAGGGTTGTAGCTCAGTGGAAGAGTACTTGCCTAGCATGTGTGAGGCACTGGGTTCGATTCTCAGCACCACATACAAATAAAATAAAGGCCCATCAACAACCAAAAACTATTTTTTTAAAAAAAGATTTTGTTCTTGTAATGCAAAAAAAAAAAAAAAAGATTTTGTTCCAAAAATAAATTATAATGGTGGTCCTTTGCTTGCATATTCTACATATAGTTCTTCTAAAGGGTGAGGCCTTCTTTTCGGAATAATTGAGCTTTTGGACTGTTGCCACACTGATCTTCCCCTGTTCTAGATAAACCTGAGGTCTCCTGTGTAGATTTTATGATTTTTCAGTCGTTCTTTGCCATACTTTCACATGATGTGGCTTTTGTGGGATGTACTTTTTTTTTGTCTCATTTGCTGGAGATGTTAGCAATCCACTTCACCCCATTCTTGTTGCTTGGTTTGGTGTCCAGGAGAAATCAGAAAATCTACAATTAAGCTGTCACTAAGGTTTTAAAATAAAACCTCCTTAATCGTGAGGGGGGTGGGAATCAATGTTATTTTATTTATTTGTCTGTTTTCTTTTCTTTGTGCTAACGATTATATCAGGGCCCAACACATGCTGGACAAGTGTTCTATGAATGATCTACATCCCCAGCCCTTGACTGTTATTTGAAAGAATAAAATAAAAATAAAGAGAGTACAGAATGAGAGAAAATGTTTCTAAATTAAAACTCTGATTAGATTGTAGAATCCAGAATGTATAAAGAATTTTACGAAAATGGGTAAAGAATTTAAATAGACTTTTTTTTTTCCCTAGAGAAAATACACAAGTAAGTGGCCGATGAGCACATACTGAGGTATTCAGCAAAGCTAGTTATCAAGGAAGTGCAAATCAAAACCAGAGTCAGGCATCACTTCACACACATCAAGATAGCTAAAACCAAAAGGAAAAAAAAAAAAAAAGACAAACAATAACAAGTTGGTGAGGATGGGAAGAGGTTGGAGCCCTTATACTCTACTGGTGGGAAGGTAAAATAGTGTAGCTGCTTTGGAAAAGATTAGTAGTGCCTAAAAAATTAATGAGTTATCCTGTGACATACATATTGGTTATTTATTATTCATGAATAATGGCACCATTATTCAGAATAGCCACTAAGTGGAAATATCAATGTCTTATCAGCTGATGAATGGATAAACAAAATGTTATATCCATAGGATGGAATATTATTCAGCTATAGAAAGGAATGAAATATTGATAAGTGTGAATGAAATATTGTGTCAGAAACCTTGCGGGGGCTAGGGTTGTGGCTCAGCAGTTGAGCACTCGCCTAGCACGTGCAAGGCCCTGGGTTCAATCCTCCGCACCACATAAAAATAAATAAACAAAATAAAGGTGTTTTTAAAAAAGAAAAAAGAAAATCTTGGAACCATTATGCTAAGTGAAAGAAGCCAAGTACACAAGACCTTATGTTGTATGATTCCAATTATATGAAGTGTCCAGAATACACAAATCAATAGAAAGAGAAAGTAGATTAGCAGTTTCTAGGAGCTGAGTTGAATTGACAGGTGTGGACTGGCTGCTAATGGGCATAAGGTTTCTTTCTGGGATGATGAATATGTTCTGGAATTAGATAGTGACAATAGTTGCACACCTTTGTGAATATACATTCAGATTGTAGACTTTATAAAATGTTGAGCATTATGGTACGTGACTTGTGTTGCAATGTAAATGTTGAGAAATGTAGAAGTTAAAGGAGTTCTCAGATGTGTCAGGTGCAATGAACGTGTCAGGTAGTCACTTAAAGGTGCCATTTGACCTGACACTTAATTATTAATCGTATTGTTATCACTTTTATCATAGATCTATGAACTTGCCGAGTGATCCTTTCATTGGTGATCTTGGTAGAGTGAAATCAGTGGGAACATTGACTGCAGTATTGAGGAGGGAATGGTAGATGAAGTGAATGTAGACTTTTCGCAAGAAGCTTCAGAGTAGAGTTAAAAGCAGGAAAAAGAACTCTAGCTGGGGAGAAATATAAAATTGAGGGGGTTTTTGTGTATTTGAGAGAACAAGGTGAAAGGAGACATACAGATGTAGAATAGAGAGGATAATTATTGAAGTGAGTTTGAGGATTTGGAGAAATAAAAAGCACAAGTGGAGAGATTAGGCTTAAACAGAGTAAATGATCCTTACCTTGGGGAAGGTTTGAAGTAGTTATGAAGGTGTAGATAAAGGACAAATTTATAGACTTAAGCTAAGGAAATAGATACATATTTCTACAGGGCTTTCTTTATGTTTTTCTGAAGTAGAAGGAAAAGTTATTATCCAAAAATGAGGGCAGCAAGTTGGAGTAGAAAGTTGAGGAGTGAAACATCTTTGATATAGATGCTGGTGGAATTGGAGAGTGAGTTGTCGAGACTAAGTGAAAACAGTAGCTCCTGTCTTTGGGTGAGTGTGCTTTACCTAGACTCACCTGTAGGACTGAGGCACACAGTTCACTTACTTTTGTCAGCTTGAAGGTGAAGGAGGCAGGAGTAGAAATCACACATACATGATATCAAAGTTACCTTCAGACTTTAGGTTGAAGAGATTTAGTAAAAACTGTCAGCATCACCAGATGTTTACCATCATGAATACTGCAAAAGACTGATGTCATTTATATCATGGTTTCATTTTGATTTGGCGTCTCATTTCCATACTGAATAAAGAAGGTAAGAAGACGGCAGTAATCTGTTAGACTTAAAGTATGCTTTGTGAATTGAGGGTGGGAGGTACAGCTCAGCGGTAAGCATTTCCCTAGCATGCATAGGCCTGGGGTTTGAGAGCAAATGTCCCAGCACAGGGACACGGGGAGTTGAGAGCAAATGAGCTTTCTTTTAGACTTAACTTTTTATTGTTAATTTTTAGTTACGACAACCTCCAGTTAAGCGTTTGAGACTTCGTGGTGACTGGTCAGATACAGGGCCCAGAGCAAGGCCTGAGAGTGAACGAGAACGAGATGGTAACTATACGTTGGTCAGCTTTTTTGGGGGGTATATGGTATTTTAAAAATTAATATTGTAACTCAGTTCCAACTTTATCACTATTATAAAGGATGCTACAGTGAACTTCCGGTACATCTCTCTTGGTGTGCTTGTGTAGATATATCTTAGAATAAATTCCTATAAGTAGAATGGCTGAAGAACATCATTAGAACATTTAATTTAGATAGTTATCAAATGACTCTCCAAAAATGTTGCACTAATTTGTATTTTTACTAAAAATACAAACATGCCCATTGAGCTTAGAACATTGGGTATTATCAGACAATTTTTACTTTCTGTTAGATACAAAGATGAGTGGAAATTCTCAAATTTGTAATATGAGAGTTTTATAATAGTATATCCATCTTTCTTTCTTTCAAGTGCCTTTTATAAGTGCAAAAAAATACTTTGGGAGATTTAAGATGGCACACTTTAGAGCAGGGCAGAGTGGCACATAACTGTAATCCCAGCAACTTGGGAAGCCGAGGCAAGAGGATCACAAGATCAAGGCCAGCCCTGTCAACTTAGCAAGACCATTTCCAAAAGGGGGGTGGTGAGAGTGGGAATATGACTCAGTGATAAAATACTTCTGGGTTTAGTTTCCAATATAAAAACTAGAAAATGAAGGCTCACTTTAGAATAATCTGAAAGTATTATATATTAATTGAGTCTTTAGCCAAAATATTACTCTAATGACTTCTAAAACTCATGATTAAAAGTATATTATTTTGTATATTATCCTCAATATTATTTTACAATACATATTTAAATGTGAAGCTATATAATATAAAGTGCAGAAGTCTAAATCCATAGAAAACGTAAGAACAAATGTTAAATGACTTGACTGTAGAATAGAGTTGTCATGTTTTAAATTTGATATTATACTTTAAGTTTTAAAATGCCCCTAAGAAGGCTTGTTTATTTAACATGGTGAAAGGAGTAAAGGAAGAGACACAATACTTTCTGGTTTCAGCTAATTTTAAATATCCAGAATTTGCTTATAAAATGATGAAAATTTAGTTTTTAGGAAAATTCATGCAAAAGCCCAATTCCACTTATATCTGTTTGATGATAATGCTCTAGTAAGAGGAAAAGCCATTTTTCAGTCTGTTTAACTTAGAACTCACGAGCCCTTTCTAGCAAGGCACTCTTACTTAGACTTAAAACTGTAGATAAATTAGGATAAGGGTGGGAGATGTGGAGGTACCTAAGAATAGGAAAATGTGAAGGAGATGCAAACCATATTTTTCACTGGAAGCATATTTCAGATATTGGAAATTAGCTGGAGCCAGAAGGTATTTTAGTTCTTCCCTCCCTGCTTGTTCTCTTGCAAATAAAAAAAGGATTTTTCCATACATAGGGAAAGTCACTCATACAATTGCTATAAATTGCAGTGAGAGCTTTCATGGATATTTCAGTATTCCTATAATTTATGTAGGTAAGTTGATTTTTTTAAAATTGCTTGCACTTTAAAGCCTTCAAATCTAGGTTTTTGTGTTAGTAAAAGAGCCTGACTGATTAGTAAAATCCCTAATAAGGTTCATGTTCTAATAGGAGAGCAGAGTCCCAATGTATCACTGATGCAGAGAATGTCTGACATGCTGTCAAGATGGTTTGAAGAAGCAAGCGAAGTTGCACAGAGCAATAGAGGCCGAGGAAGGTCTCGACCTAGAGGTAATTTTTCTTATTAATTATAAGCATCAGAAAGCTGGCAAAAGCTGCTTATGAAATCCATTTATTTATATCATCTAAGTTATACTGTTTTATATCTATAATAACCATAAGGTTTGTATAGTTTGTCCTTTCCAGTTACGCCAAATCTACCCTTTATTTTGTTTTTCTCAAAAAAACAAAATAGAGAAGATTCTGAAATTCCTCATTGTTAAGCCCTTTTTAAGTGTACTTTGAGAATGGAAATATGCAAGATTCTATGAGCAAATTTTTATATCATTGAAAAGATTGATTAGTTTAACAGGAATGTGTTGTAGATAGATTTTTTTTTTAAACCTCACTACTAAACCTATTTGGTCAAGTGAACCACACCACAGTGGCTGTTCTGGTATTCTAAAATTATAAAATTTGTTTGTGCTTTGCATCTTTTGAAATTGTTGATTTATTAAAGCATTCAATATTTGAGTTTGCACTAACCTGTTTTTGGAAGGTGGAACAAGTCAGTCAGATGTATCGACTCTCCCTACGGTCCCATCGAGTCCTGATCTGGAAGTGGGTGAAACTGCAATGGATGTAGATACTCCAGCTGAACACTTTCTTCAACCTTCTACATCTTCTGCTGTGTCCGCTCAGGTTCATGCAACATCCTCTTCTACAGAAAGCCCTCATTCTACTTCTTTGCTGTCGTCTCCAGACAGTGAACAGAGGCAGTCTGTTGAGGCATCTGGACACCATACACATCATCAGTCTGGTGAGGATATTACTCTTCAAGTAGGCTGTTGTTCCTCTCTTGATTTCTGATAATGGAAACTTTACAGATTGTTTTGAAAGATACTAAATCACACCAACTTCTTGCTGGAATAAATGATCAAAATGACATACAGTGTATGAACATGTGACCTAAACACAAAATTCAAGTTTGCCTAACTTGTGTAAATTTTAACACATAGCAAGAATCTTCAGTTTACACATAACAGTTTTGAAAAAAAATATGTACCAACAGGTAGAGTTTTGGCATAGCTTAATGCATTTCATTTAAAGATTATTTACAAATCATTATAGACCAAAATATCTTTCTAGATTTATTTGGTTATGTATGTATATTAAAGAGATAGTAAAAATGTAGCTTGTTGTTATTAGTTCTGTGGTTTTATATTCTTGATTATTTTTTCTTCAAATCATGAAATACTTTTAGTATGCTTTCTGTTGGATATGGTCTCTTGTTAACAACACAATATGCTTAAAAAAAATGTTTCTCCAATACATTTATGTAAAAAATAAGTATTTTACTAAATCCTTATCTTCTTGACACTTGATGCTATTGAAAATAAATCCATTCCTAAATTGTTTAAATACCGTTTTTTTCTCTTCTATGAAATGTACAGTATTTAAATAGTAATTTTCAATAGATATGGATATAGTTTAGTTGAGATTTTAACTAAATACATGTAGTCATAATAACCAATAAGATGTTTATTTATTTATTTTTTTAAGGTTTTCCTAAAGAAGCATTTTACTTGATATTGAGCCAAAAGTATTAGCAAGAGATACAGCTGGTGGGCCAAGCTGAAACCTATAAAAATTCCTAACAGCTTCACTGCCAAGCTGTCACTTTATTCTTGCTTCTCTAGAAACTGATGCCAGATCACCATATATGGGATGTTTTAAATTGAGCACTATTTTTCAGTATATCCCATTTATAGTAATTCATTTTCAGTTTCTATAGGAATAGAAGCCAAGTCAATTACATAACTGTTAACAGTATGTACATTTTATCCATGATAAAAGCTAAAGATGACCTACAAAATTAGTTTTTCCACGTTTTGATTGATAGCATTTCAACGAAAGGGCAAGTAGAGTATTTTGTTGGGTTTGAGACCTAGGGCAAAAGAAGTTAAAAATTTGTTTGCCGAAGCAGGTAAATTGGTAAAAGCAAAAATTTTTAAAGTGATAGCATTCTTGGATATATTTGTAAAGAGTTTGATGAATTACAAGTTATCAGGAAAACTTAGCAAGAAGACTATCTGATCCATGCTCAGGTGCCAATGAGTCTTACCTAACTCATTATGATTGTTTATTCAACACATTTATGAGTTAAATATTTTGGGGCTTCATTCTAAAACTTTTTTTTCATGGATAAGTAACATACATTAATACTGTATTTCAAATTGCTAAGCTCCTTTTAGTAAAAATACTAGTCATTTGAATCGCTGAAATAATTTTTTTTGTGTTGATCGTTGTTAGAATATTGCTTAGCACCTTTGCCCATAAATTTTTCAGAGAGCAAGGAAATGTTCTTAAGTGAGAGATTATTGAGAGATTTTTGGTTGACTAAACTGTGGATAATTAAAATATTTTAGTGATTCTGAAATAGACTATTAAAGAAAATAATTTGATATTAAATATAATATCTAAAGGTTATGACTGTAATTGTTCTGACAGTAGCCCTTTGGTTTTTCCCAGAGTTCAATATTTCAGCAGTAAGAACTTAATGGGTTTTGTTTTGTATTATGTTTGCTTTTTTGCACAATCACTTTCACATGTAAAAAGATTATCAAAGTCCAGATAGTTTTATAGATATGGGGAATTGTCCGTTGGGGGACTATAGTAGTGGAAATTTCAACATAGAGCCAGGATTCCTGTTAGTACCTTGGATAGAGACAGAAAATAAAAACAAGTATGTTTCTGTCTGCACTTGCTTTGCTGCAAAGACTATGTAAATGTTTATCCCTTTCCTTCATATCCCTTGCATTTCCAATATTGAAGGAAAGGGACAGTGTGAAAAATTGCCAGGCAAAACTCCACACTGGTTGAACCCTAATTTTTTGGTTTTCTTAGTGTACAACTTAATCTATGGTGGTGAAGAAAGTCATGACCAATTTCAGGGGGTATCCCACAAGGTGGGTCTGAGAAGTCAACACTGTTGCCGTCCAACTACACAAAATGACTATTTACCCCTTCCCATCTCTCAAATTTAGCACTCCATGCATCCTTGACCCACCCTCAGCTGGTAACTTTTCATTCACAGTGAAAAGAAATGCACTCATTTTCCTGCTATTGAATCTCCCAGCTTTCCAACATCTGTGTCACATTATCTGTGGTAGAAGCAGAAACACATTTTGGAAGAAATGTTTCTTTTCCTGTCAAGTGCTAACTGTTGCAGTTCCCATCCCTTTACAATTTCTCAAGGACTTTGTTCCTCCCACATCATTATTTCCTGTTCTGCTGAATTCTTCCTTTTGGCCTCAAACATGTTTTTGTCTCCTTTCTTTAAAAGATCCACTCTTAAGAATTCGATATTTCCTTATAGCCACTTTACTGCCTTGTGTTTCAGCCCCTTTTATATAATTATGGTCCTCAAAATTGCTTACATATACTGCTTTCATATTCTTACGCATTTATTCACCAACCAACTGAAATCTGCTTTTTAAAGTCGTCCTTCTCTGAAACTTTATTTTTATCAAAGCCACAAGTGACTTCCATTTTGCCAGATTTACAGGATACTTCCCTGTTAGTATCTTCATAGATTTTGTTTGACACAGTTTCATTTCAGAGTCTGTCACTTCTTTCTTGGAACGTTCTCCTTCTTGGCATTGATGACACCACATTTGCCTGTTTTACTGATAGGTTGTGTCTCGTTTTCAGTAACCATCATTCTGAGTGTCTTATCTACTTCTTGTCTACCCCCTGGTCCTGGCTCTCTTGTTTTTTCTATATACTCTCTATTCCTAGGTGATTCTATCCATCCTCCATAGATATTAATGATGCCTCTAAGTTTATAACTCTTAAAGTTATATCAATAGTCTGATCTTATACCTCGAGTTCCAGCCTCCTGTGTGCAATTGCTATTATTATTATTTTTTTAATATTTAGTTATAGGTGGACACAATATCTTTATTCCATGTGGTGCTGAGGATCGAACCCAGTGCCTCACACGTGCTAGGCGATCGCTCTACCTCTGAGCCACAACCCCAGCCCCGGTAATTTTTATTTTTATTTTATTTTTTATTTTATTTATTTTATTTTTTATTTTATTTATTTATGTGTGTGTGTTTGTGTGTGTGTGTGTGGGGGGGTGTGTGCTGGGGATTGAACCCAGGTCCTTGTGCATGTGAGTCAAACACTCCACCAACTGAGCTATATTCCCAGCCCTATAATTGCTATTTTTAACACTTCTTTTTGATTATGTTTAGACATCTTGAATTTAATCAGTTCTGCTGAAACTTTATTCAGCCTTCTACCTTTTCTGACACCAAATCAGTTCTATCTTAGTTCATTTATGACTAAATTATAATGCTACCTATTTGCTTATTTTAATAGGCCATGAGTTATTTATTCTCTCCTCTCCTTCATGTCTCATACCCAGTTCATCAGCAAGTCCTATTGGTTCTGTTTATAAAATATTTTTACTTCCTTTCCTTTTACCATAATTTCTTGTCTCCTTGCCATCTACTTTGTTTCCTTATAAGTTATTATCCATGGAGCAGCCAGAATGAGTATTTTAAAATATTAATCAGATTATATAATTGCTGTTTAAAATCTATCAAACTCTTTGTTGTGGACCTATAAGGATCTACATGGCTTTCATCTGATTCTACTTTCTCAGTCCAAGATGAGATGTTCCAAACATACTGATTTCCTTTCATTTCCTTTGATGTGTCAAATTCTCTTCTGCCCCTGTCCTTCTTTCTGGTTCTGAACCTAAATTGTTACTGTTCTCAGTACCTGGGAAGTCTACCCCATAGCTTATCACATGGCCAACTTCTTTTTCCTTAGGTCTCAGTTGAACTACTACCCAAGAGAGATCTTTTGTAACTGTCCTAGATAGAGTCCTTTTACTCTCTGTAAATTTTTACACTCCTTTCTATTACCCTGTTTTATTTCCTGAATAGTGCTTACAAATTTTTCTAATTATTTCATTTTGACTGATTTGTTTATGACATTTCTTTTACTGGAATATGCTCAAACAAAAACAGGGACATGTCTTATCTCTAATGTTTTTGAGTGTGTCCCTCCAACCCCTACAATAATAGCCATTCTATCTATGAGAATTTAGTTAGACCAATTTAAAATTGGTCTAGCAGAGTATAGTCTATTTAGTGTTATTTTGATGATACCTAGGAGAGATGCTACGATTAGGTATCCAGTTATCATTTTGGATCCATTATCTTTCCTGCACTGCCTAGGCCATATTTAAGACTGTGTAGAGGGGCTGGGGTTGTGGCTCAGTGGTAGAGCGCTTGCCTAGCCCATGTGAGGCACTGGGTTTTAACCTCAGCACCACATGAAAATAAAGAAATAAAATATTGTGTCCATCTACAGCTTAAAAAAAAAAGACTGTGTCGAGCCAAGCCTGGTGGCAAATGCCCATAATCCCAGCAGCTCAGGAGGCTGAGGCAGGAAGCTTAAGAGTTCAAAGTCAGCCTCAGCAAAAGTGAGGCGCTAAGCAACTAAGTGAGATCCTGTCTCTATGTAAAATACAAAACAGAGCTGGGGATGTGACTCAGGGGTCGAGTTCCCTGGGTTCCATCCCTAGTACCAAAACCAAATAAATACAAATTTTCTAAACATTACACACATTTATATATTATGTATATTTGTGTATACATTTTTAAAAAGATATAACGTGTATTTCTATGTCTGTTAAGCATACTGTTTATTTAGTTAATTGGTGAGTTCCTTTCCTAGCCTCGTTAAAAAGAAAATTTAACCTAAGGGAGAAAAAAGCCACCAATTAGCCTCAAAAAAAAAAAAAAAATCTCCTTTAAATAGCACTGGAAACACTGAATAAATGATTCCTAAGATTATTGTAACTAAATCTTGATTTTTCAAGGAGGGAGCATAAGTGTGTCTATCTGGAACCTGCTGCTTATTTGCCATATCACTAAGTGGTTCTAGAATGAGGACTTCTATCCTCATAAAATGTCTTGGCCGCTCATGAGGGAGGGCTTGGAACTCGGGTGAAATTGGGTGAATTCTTTGTGAGTTTTTTCTATTTGGTTTTGATATTTAGAAGAATTTCACAAATAAGTACTCTTTTATTATGGTAGTCTTCTTCTGAGAGGTAAAATGACAAACCTTATGGCTGTATAATAATGCTTTATATTATGTTGCTAAAAGCATTACTATTAGCTGACTATAAACATAGTATCTATATGGAACTGTAAAGGAAGTAGCTGTGCCTAGGGCATCCTACTTCCTACTAGCAAATTTACTAGGAAGAGCTAACAATGAGAGACATTGATGATACTTGAACTATTTTTTAAATCTTAATTACTAATTGAATAAAATTATTTCTAATAATAGTGATTAGTGTTTCTGGCATGATTGATACTTGAAACAGTAAAACAAAAATTTTACTCTTATAATCTGTATATGAGAGGCTGAAAGTTATTTGGTAGTTTGTATAGTTTGCTGTCACTGAGCGAAATTCTACATGCTCTAACCACTAAATATACCACTGTCAAGTCTTTACCCGTATGTACTGACTCCCTTTTGGTTATAGCTGATGAAGTTTATAATTCACCTATCCAAAGGCAGGCCTCCTCTTACCCCCTGGAGTCCACCTCCTTGGTCTACTTCAGAACCTCTCTCCTGCAGTTGCTCACTTTTTATGCATTAGCTTTTCTCCTCCCCGACGATTAAACAGTTTAAATTAGGACATAAACATACATATTATCTCCCAAATTAAAACATAAGAAGCTCTCTTGACTCTCTTTCCCCACCAACAATCTTCTTATTTCTCTATTCCCTACCAATAAGACTTCTACCAAGAGTACATGTCCATGTGCTTTGTGTCTCTACTTTAATACCTCCCCATCCTCTTGAACCTGCTGTACTCTGGTTCTGGCCCATATTATTACAATGAAACAGCTCTTTTCAGTGTCATCAGTTACTTGTTGCAAAATCTAGAGCTCAGTATCTTCCAGTGCACCACCAGCATTTGATAAAAGTGCATACTTCATCCTTGACACACTTTCTTCACTTAACCCTGTAGAACTCTGGTAGCTCAGTTCTCCAGTCCCCTGCCAAGCTGTCCTTTGTGCCCTTTCTCCTCTTAAACATTGATGTCCTCTGGGTTCAATTTGTAGACCTCTTCTGTCATCACTTGCTGTTTGGGGGCTTACAGTAATGTCACCAGTGACACTGGATTTCTGTCTCCTGTGAACACTGGACTGTTACCTAGTCTTCATTTGTCCACCTGGATGTGTATTCTCTCTTCTCCCTAGCTTGACTCTTCCTCTTCATTGTTCCCCACTGCAAGGAATGATAACTCTGTTTCTAATTACTTAGGCCAAAAGCTTTGGGACCACTTTGTATAAACTTTCAACAAATTCTCTTGCCTGTACCTTTAAGCTGTATCTCACATCTTGACAAGCTTCCCACTGAGCATTTGCCCTTGCTCTTCATCCCACCTGGCACACTCTTCTTTAGATATCTACAAGGTTCACTCCCTCACATCCTCAAGGTCTTTGTTCCCAGGGGCCATGTACAAGATAGCATCTCCTCCCCACCATCTCCTTCCCTCACTTTATTTTGGCAGTTTCTTTGGTAAGTCACCACCATGGGACACTACAAACACTTGTGTATGTTCATTTGCAGATGTCTGTTTTTCCCTTAGAACACAAACTCTTCAGGAGTAGGGACTTATTTTGTACACTACTTAATTTATTCTCAAAGCCTCATACATAGGAAACACTCAGCAAATACCTATTTGCAAAATTTCCTGTTATTTTTCTTTTCATCTGAATCATTTCTTCAGATAAAGGTTAAGAAAGCTTTTTAAGAGAGCTTTGTAAAGACTATAATGCATAACTTTTTATCACTTTAATTAAATTTTAGTAATTTGAGTGCAATTAGTGAAGTAACTTTAAAAAATTTTATGTATAGATTAGATCATTTAAGCGATACTTTATAATTGGTATTTATTTCCTAGTGTCATTTTGTTAAAAATGTTAAAAGTGAAAATTAGGAAAGGAATGTTCAATTTCAAATCTTGTGCTGGTGATATATAGTGTAGCTTAGTGGCAGAGTGTACAGCATAGTATTTTGCTTATGGAGGACCTTATTTTTATATTGTTTAATTACTTAAATATTCCTGGAAAAATGTGTTTAATTCATCATAGTTTTAAAGAGAAGCATTTGAGTGTCTGTGTATACTTTGTCTCATAATTAATGGCCAGTAATTTCTTCTTAAGCAGTAATTTGTTTTTATTTTTCATCTATGAGTGTTTAATTTATATTCTTCCCCTCTTTAATGTGTTACCAAATTCTTCTTATTTTCCACCTTATTACTTTCTCTTGACCTTTCTTTTCCTGTCTGTGTCAGAATTTTTAAGGGGGCCTGAGATAGCTTTGCTCCGTAAGCGCCTGCAACAACTGAGGCTTAAGAAGGCTGAGCAGCAGAGGCAGCAGGAGCTCGCTGCACGCGCCCAGCAGCAGCCTTCCACTCCTGATCAGTCTTCTCAGGAGGGCTCTTCCCAGGACCCTCAGGCTTCAGGTTATTAATGTCAAGTGTCCTTTAGCAGCTGATAACATTGTTGTTTAATCTTGCTCGTAATGAGATGCTTCCCTGTCCCCATTCAGACTGAGAGCTAATGCGCTTCAGCTTATTAGCTTATCCCTCCCTTGCACATAGCCGTGTCCACATCTCAAGTGAGGGGACAGATTGGCAGCAGCATTGGCCAGAGCTGTGAATATAAAATAATCCCTTATTTGTAACATATTTGGAGAAGGGCAAGTGTTTGTTACTTTTACAGCTTGGTGTACTTTCTAATAATTATCTAGTGAATTTAGAGCCTGCTGTTGTTTCTGTTGAAACTTTGTATATGCTGAAATGAATCTATGCTTATGGGCTCCTAGCTCTTCTTTGTTTGTTGCTTTAATAGTTAGCTAATTCATAAACCTAGTAATGCTAGGCTTTAGAATTATAGTATGGTTAGGCCATACTAACATGCTGAGTCAATCATTCCCTTCTGTCATGAGATTGTTTTTTCAATATTTGTTCATTTATCCTTTCTATATACAGTTAACTTCCTAATATATAGGACAGCCAAACTACTTCATGACCTCATTTTCCTGTTCTTATATTATCAAATTCTCATAAAATAGTGATAATCTGTGCCACTCTGGAGTATTTTGATGGCTTTATTCTTTTAAGAACAGAAAAGTTTATAATGCTCAATATTTGTTGGGAGAATTAATGAAAGGCACAACAAAAAAATGTTACCTTAATTCTTTTAAGGTGAACAATATGTACTGTAAATCCTGCAGTATAATTATTATAGTAGACGTTATAAATGTTCACTTAGGTTGTCATATTAATGAGTTTATAAGATGTTGACATTCTGCCATCCTGAGCATTGATGAGTTTGAGCATTAATTACTTTGGGGACTCCTATGTAATTACTTGGGATTAGTTTGTATTGTATGTGAGCAGAACTGGACAGCCATCACTTTATAAATATCTGTTCTAGTGAGTACGCTGGTGGCAAAAGCATATGGAAATATAAAATAAATCTTAGCCACTGTAATATAGATATGATGGTTGAGACAAATCATGTTCTTCATGTATAATTCAATGTAATATTAACGGAAATTTATCCAGGCAAAGGTGTCTCTTGAGTGTTGTTTTTTTTTCCTATAAGAGATCTCTTCCTACCCCTAAAACTAGCAGTAGGAAAGTTTGATCAGATTACAATAATGCCATTCATTAATAAAACTGTTAGCATTTTATGCTATAATAACACTCTAAACCAAAGTATTTTGAAAGTAAAAAGAAATGAAGCATAAAAGTCAATAAAAAGGTAAATAATATGTCCCTACATGTATAAATATCTTTAAAAATACTGAAATTTAGCAGGTAACAAACCAAGTATTAAAGGGATGTATGAATAGAAAGCACAATTGTCTTCATCTACAAGAAAGAAGTGTACATTGTAGATGTGAGAAAAATACTTTGAGACTTATTAACCTTTCATATCTAGTTCAGAAATTTGAATTGAAACATTTTTTTTTTTTTTTTTTTTTTTTTTTTTTTAGAATCACAAATTTAGGGTGATTATATGGCTTCCATGAATAAGATGGCTTTCTAATCTCTCAGTATTACTCTAGTTAATAACACCATCTGGCTTGTGTTCCTTAAAAAGCTAAAGTTGAGTAGACACCTTGCCAGATCCGAAAGTGAGAAACATCTTTTCATTGTTATTGGGCATCATGGTTGGGGCCCTGAGGCAGTCCATGTGATCCAGTGTTAGAAACCATGCTCCCACTCAGCCAGGCTGCACTCTTCACCTGGCAATAAGATGCTTAAATGTTTTGGCAGCATGCAGGTGGGCCCTCATAAGTCTCATCTGTGGCACAACTTGTGTTCATTTGTCTGTGGCTCTTAACTATTACATTGTCTGGCAAATATTTCATACTCATTCAAGACACAGGACTCATGAGAATCTTTTGTGCAAGGTTAAGTGGAAGATGAACCCATAATACCTTATTTCTGTGGGGAAGTGAGATCAAAATATCAAACTACTATGCAGAAATAGTAATCTACATTTTTAGTGGGATCATATAGGAAAGGATTTGATAGTAGTTAATGATAATCCCAAGTGGAATATTATCTATTTAGTTGTCCATATTTCTTGGCATTTGAAGACTAAAACATAATCCCAAGGTATCAAATGAATACCACCTTCAGTTTCAAATTATTATTTAAAGTAAGTTACATAAAACGTTGTTAAAAGATTTTTAAAAGTGATTTTCCTTTTTTATTTTCAGCTGTGAACTCTTTCATCAGTCTTCTATGGAAGTTCTGATTTGAAAGATGTAAAAGTGGCTCTCTTGATTTAACAGTGGAGGGAGATGAGTGATGAGCCACCCTGCTTGCCCTCATGCTGCCCGCCAGGCTCCTCTGGTCTTCCAAGCCCAATTTGAAAAGCACTGTTCTAAAAGAGTCTCTGACACCTACAAATGATAATCTTTCAGAGTTAATTTACAAAAATAAGATTTTTTCAAGTCAGAATATGTTATTTTAAAATATTTTTAAAGTATATACATATTTTTTTCTGGACTTTTAGGAAATATAACTATTTAGGGAATACAGTATAAATAATTTTCTAAACTTCTAGGAAATACATAAAAAATATCTCAGAGATTTTTGTTGTTTGTTTAATTTTAATCACAAAGAGGTAGATTTTTCTTCTTCATGTCATTATTTTGATATTAGACTGACGAATTCTTGCCCCTGGCCCTAAGACTGGATAACCCTGGATATAGGTCATTATAGGTCATTTGACTGCCTTATGCTTCAGTTTCCCAATTACTAATTTATTTAGATACTATACCTTCCACAATTTGCAGAGGTGGCATAAAGGTGGGTTAGACTATATTGCATATATAGTATTTATATTTCTTAATAATAGTAGCTTTCACTTACTATTTTAAAATGTCCTCACCTCAGGGACATTCAAGGTTGATAAGAGTTCAGGGATCTGTATTGAGCTGTATCAGTGTTTACCAGGTGAATACCCTAAATAGCTACTGCAGAGGCATTCAGCATATGGCTGATTTTAAGCCCAACTCTTCTTTTCCATTTCAGGTCCCCGAAGTCATGGGTTGCTGGCTCCTGCTCAGAGTGACAGCACCCTGTGGATTCTGCTGGTACTGGCCCGACCACCACAGAGCCCCACTGGAGCATGGAGCCAGCCTAGAGAGGGTCAGGTAGGAACTGTTTTTTCACTCTATGGCACGGTTTTGCCAATTGGAAAAAAAAAGTAACTTTTATACCCCAAAAATGGGTATAAAACATTGGTGATTAATTTTGAAAAAGGGCTTTTCAAAACTGAGCCATATTGGAAAAAATCAGCACTTACACGATCTTGTGCAAGTAGACTCACTATTTCCCCAGATTCCCCACAGTGTACATAATGGCAGTCACATTGTAGCATTTCTCAAATAGATACATTTGATCCATGTTTCTAGTGTTTGTAAAAGTAGTTAGTGATATTTGCCTACTTCTGTAAGAACTTTTTAACTGCTTAAATGACTGAGTCCTAAGCAACTTTAAGTGATAATATGTTCCATAGTTTTCAGAACATTTTTGTGTTACTATTTTTCATTATCATATTTCTGAAAACTAGGGAAGTAGCAATAACATTAATTGCCCTTTCCTATGTGCCACCTGAAAAGTTTATATGGATGACCTCATTAAGTCTTCACAAGAACACTATGTGGTAGATACTATGATAAGGCCCATTTTATACGTGGAAAAAGTGAGACTTAAGCAAGTTAAATAATTTGTCCAGAGTTACAATTTAACTGAGTAAAAAGCCACATTCAAAATCAAGAAGTGTGGATGAAGAGTTATTATTATTTATATAACAACTATTATATATTGACAATTATATAATTGTCAGTCTTTTCTACAGGGGAAATTCTAGTGTTATTGGACTAAGATAATTTTCTGAAGACTGACCTGCAAATTTTTTTGGAAGTAATTGACTCTAATATACACTGAGCTTAGTATAAAATGAGCTTTTACTTAAAGTTTATTTCTACCTTAAAAATAATTTAATTCTAGATGGGCACAGTGGCGCATGCCTGTAACCCTAGTGGCTCAGGAAACTAAGGCAGGAGGATTGAAAATTCAAAGCCAGCCTCAGTAATTTAATAAGATCATGTCTCAAAATCAAAAAAAAAGTGCCAGGGATGTGGCTCAGTGGTTAAATGCCCCTGGGTTCAATCTCCAACACAAAAATAAAATAAATAATTTTAAACACTTTACATATGCTGATCAACCATATTGCATTTAACATTAAATTATCACTGACCATATATTCAGATTTTACTTTGTGGTGGTATTTCATGGAGAGATGGAAGCAATGTGGCAAACAGTTGAAGCAGTCAGTGTAAACTAATAAGTACAATTTTTTATATTTGCTCTTTTGATGGTTATTAATAACTTAAAAACATTTTTAAGAGGAACTATAGATACTGTATTTATGCACACTTAGTGGCATAAAAGCATGTCACTTAATATGTTTATGTGACAAGAAAATATACCTTCCAAAAACAGTTGCATTGTCCTGAGATTATAACTAAAATATTTTATTTTGAGGGATTTCTTCACAAAGATTAGCCTTTAAGATGTGTGGAATAACAAATAATTTTCCAGAAATGCACAATATCTGTAAGAGACTATAAAATCAAACAGGAAACCCTTTTAGTTTGGGAGTATTTTTCTGTCTTAATTTAAGATTTAATCTTTTAAATTTTTCAAGCCTGAAAACAGTTTTATAGAGGTGACAGCATTCTAGATACTTGATTGATGTGGTTTCACTTACTCTTTAATTTTACTAAAAAACTTAAAAAAGACGAATTTACTTCAATAAGGTTTATGCATTCCATAATATTTTGGGACAAATATTTGCAAAGAAGGTTTCTTGGAGGACTTATAGTTTTTTTTGAGCTCTTAATTATTAAATGAGAATACAATGATTATGTATGGTAAATCCAAAGAGATGAACTGTGTCTTACAAGGGACTTTTTAAAGAGATTTTTCCAATATTTATTTCACTGAGTTGCAGGGTTTTTTTAAATTTTAAAGAGTATAATTTTATTTCTAAAGATTATTTATTGTTCTTCAGAAACAACAGTATTGAGTCTAACTCTGAAATAGGTAAGTGACAAGTCTTACAAAGCAAAGTAAAGCATAGTAGGTTAAGGAACTGATTGGAAGTCTACCATTCTGGCTTTCTTTTTAGTTTAACAAAGACTCCTTAACTGTCTCATGAAGAGGTAATGAGTAAGGATGAGTAACAACTATTCAATTAACTATCATGCTTCATCAAAATCTAGTAAGATAAAAATCTATGAGCAAACTGGTATGATATTAGAAAGTGGAAGATTTAAAGTTGAAGCAAGTAGCATGAGTAATGGAATATAGATGTTTAAATGTACAAATGAAAGCAATCAAATGATATAAAAGTGTCCTGAATCCAGGATACACTGTAAAACCTCCCTCAGTTATCCAGTTAAGGATGATCTTTACTTAAAACATTTACTTTTGGGGAAATGAAATGCCATCATGAGTAGAAGGGTCCCATTAATATTTACTAAGAGCTAGAGAATAGGATGTTAGAAATTAAGAATTATTTTTATATTTTGGGAGAGCTATGCTTAGTGCCCACATTTTTCCTATGACTGTAGCTCTACAGGGATTCTGAAACTCAAGTCAAGAATGGAAAGGGACTACCTCCTTATACAGGTTGAGTATCCTTTATCTGAAATGCTTAGGAACCAGAAGTACTTCAAATTTAAATTTTTTGGATTTTTTAATATTTGCATATACATAATGAGATATCTTGGGAGATCCAATCCAAGTCTAAACATGAAATTCATTAATGTTAATTCATTATGTGTTCTGTGTATATCATACTCTTTAACACTGATGTAGATGGACACATTATTTTTATGTGGTGCTGAGGATCAAACACAGTGCCTCACACTCTACCACTGAGCTACAGCCCCAGCCCAACACTGATGTTTTTATTTCAATTTTGTTTTGACTCTGACCTGTCACGTGTCAGCCATCCAAAAACCTTTTGATTTTGGAGCATTTCAAATTTTTGGATAAGGGATGCTCAGCCTGTATTCCCCAGTATTTTGATAAGGCTACTAGATCTACAGTTTGATAAGGAAGAAAGGAGAAGCTGAGGCCCAAGCATGCTAATTATTGTCAAAATCAAGTGTAAAATCAAAACTTAATTGAGGCAGGGATATGCTGATACGTGTCTGTGATCCCAGCTACTAGGAGGTTGAGGCAGGGTAATTAAAAATTTGAGGTCTCCCCATGCAACTTAATGAGACCCTTTTCTCAAAATAAAATGGACTAAAGGTATTGCTCAGCAGTTGTGCACTTGTCCAGGGTTCAATCCCCAGTACTGCCAAAACAAAACAAAACAAAACAAAAAAACCCACAGGCAAGGGAGGGTTTTTTTCTGTTTTATCAGGATGTCTTCCTAAACCAGAGTTTTTCACATAGTAAAATACAATTATTAGAAATTCTCATATAGAAACACAGTATGTCCAAAATATAAAAACAAATCTGTTTTATTTGAAGCCAAAGAGCCCAGAGTATTAAAAGCATTCTCCTTGCCTCTCTCTTTCTTTCCCTACCAGGTACCTCTAAAGAAATCTAAGCTTGCCAGGCGGGGTGGCACTGCCTATAATCCCAGTGACTTGGGAAGTTGAGGCAGGAGGATTGCAAATTTTAGGCCAGCCTCAGTGACTTGATGAGACTATGTCTCTAAAAAATAAAAGGGACTTGGGATGTAGATCAGTGGCACTGGGTTTGATTCCCAGTATCTGAAAAAAAAAAAAAAAAAAGTAGAAGAAGAAGAAAAAGAAATCTAAGCTTTCACTGAGTATAGTTTTAATACGCACAATATATTCTAGAATTTTTAACATTATGTATGTTTCTATAAAAGTAATTACTTTGTTGAGTATCTTATAAACCATTTCCTTTGTCTAACATCTGGACTTGAGCTACTTGTTCAGCTTATGGTATAACAAACAACATCTCACTAAGTGCAGTGAGCATCTCGTTTCATGCTTTAAATTTTCCACGAGATTTAGATTTGTATCAGGAGCTGGAGAGGGCATCTGAGAAGGACAGGGAGTCTCTCCTGTTCAGTGGCGATACCCCATTTCTAATTTTTATCTACCTTGTACTCTGTGCCTTTGCTGAAAGAATTTGAAGAAAAAAAAAAGTATGTGCATGGAAGTAGAAGAATATTTTCTCAACTTATTCTCAAAGTTGCTAAATGCTTGCCTGAAATAACAATCATAAGCACATGGCCTTGCTTACTCACTGCTTAGAGAAAACACCACAGTACTTACTTCTATTCCCCACCCTTATACATTGTTCCTTAAGCTTATAGATGATCATAACATTGCTGTGCAGTTTTCTGCTGCTTACTTTTAAGTTGAAATCTCATTTTTGTTTCAGATTCTCCTTCTTCTGTGGTTAACAAACAGCTCGGATCCATGTCACTTGACGAGCAACAGGGTGCGTGCAACAGGAGATGCGCTATGCCCATCCATCCATAGTTTTATTGCAATGCATAAACAAAGTTCTTTTTCATTTTTACATAGCATTTCATTTTGATTATGGTCTTAACATTAGTATTTTATAGACTAAATACCCCAGGTGGTATTGTGCACAAAGGGCCCCCTTGGCCTTTACAAATTATGCTCTGTGTAAGCTAATTTCTGTCTTTGACCTTTTATGGCAAATTTGAATTTTTTTCCTGTAACAGTGTTGTAATGGATATAAACTATATCCATTTTAAATGCTAGGTATCTCTCATAAAATTATGTAGAACTGTGGGTGTGTGGTTAGCATAATCAACTCATCACTCATTTAGGAAAAGTCATTTGAGCATAGTAATATTCCATTAGATTTTCATAGTAATGACACTTGATTTAGTCTGGTCTCATTTATCTGGTGATCTGACTTCTGTTAGCTTTAACTATAAGGAATATACTTAGGAACCCAGAGGTAAACTGAGAAGCCACCCATCAGAAGGGAAAATGGCTTCTACTTGGCACTTGCACTTTTTGAAGTATCAGAGGGGTAGACTTGTCCGAGAAGCCTTGAGGAGAACCTGATGATATAGATTACTTATTTTTCAAGCTTTTTTACTGGCCCATCAAATACAGCACAGAGAGGGAAGGAAGGCATTCTGACAAAAGGGGGGCATCTGAAAAGAAGGGTGGAGAAAGGAAGACTATAAACAGCTAAAATAGCCTCTGTGGAATTAGGGCAAATGGGTTACTCTCTCCACTCACAGTTCCCTGAGTGTTCTAAGTATTTTGTGACACAGTATCATAAATGTTACTAATTTTTGATGTTAGGTCATAAAGAAAAATTTAAAATGCTTTTATTTTTTTTCACTATTAAAAAAGGCAGGTGGGTGCCTGATAGAGTTTAGAAATATTTATTTAAAAGACTTTTTTTTTTTTCAAGTAGCAAAAGCTGTAAGATTTGGTTGGCTGAAAGTTTACACACGTAAGCTGACTCACTTGTTAATAGCAATAGGGAAATTAAATATTTTTATATAGTGTGAAGTAGGTCTAATTTTAACTATATCTTTGCAAAATCTTTGAAAACAATTTTTAAAACAGGGTAGAAAACTTCTGTACTTTGAACCTTAAATTATTCTACGTGAACTTGAGAATGACCAGTATTATTATAGGTTTTTTTCCTGTAAGTGAAAAAAAAAATTAGTAATGACTTTGAGAACCAAGGAATTAAATGTTTTATCTTTATACATTTATTATAGAGAGAGCAACACAGAAGACTAACTAAAGTGAATCACAGTTATAGCATTATATATTTGACAGTGGCCAAATTCATACTCTTATAATATAACAGTAATTTTCATAGATTGTATTAAATGTTAAATTCATTTTAAGTTGAGAATGTATGCATGATATGGGACATGACAAAAAGAGAAGAATCAAGCTCAACATGCAGATCTTTGAACTCAGCTCCTGGGTAAATGGTAATAATTCTAGCTTAGAAGTGGAAATTAAGAGGTTTTTTTTTGTCCCTGGGGCCATGTACAGTATAGTATGTCTTTTAGCCATGTAAGATGTGAGGTCAAATATTGAGATGATTTGGCAGAAAGTGCATTATAATAGACCATTAAAATATAGCTTTGTGGTAAGACCTCTGAACAGAAATGTTGTAATGGTGGAAAATATATCTCCAAATTATTTAAGTCCTGTTTTTTTTACATGCCTTTGCTTGGTAGGATTAATGTCCTGAGGGCTTCAATTAAGGGCTTAGGTTACCTGAAGATAACTTCTACCAGAAAAATTAAGGGAGACTGCCCACCACCGATCTGTCTCTTCTGGACTAATGTAATATTTTCTTAGCTGCTCTTCTCACCCAGGCTGTCATCTATTCTCTACTAGCATCCAGAGTGACACTTTAAAGAATGTAAATATACTTGTGTCATTTATCAGCTTACAATTTTTTAATTGCTTCCATAAAGGCCTTTAAAACAATCCAAATCCATGCTTTGCTTACATGACCTGGCCCCATCTCTCTAGCCGTGTCTCAGGCCACTCTGCTTGCTTGCTACAGTCTTGCCAGATAGCCTCCTTTCAGTCCTACCACTGAGCTCCTTTACCTCTCAAACCCCCGGACCTGCTTTTCCTTTACTAGAACTGCTTTTCTGTTAAGCAACTTTTGTTTATCCTTTGAATCTCACTTTGTCAAAAATAATAAGGTCTCCCTGCCTTCTGAAGTTCTTTTCCTTTATGGCGTGTTATTTTCCCACATTTGCTTTATAATCATACATTAATTTAGGGGATTGTTTGTTTCTGTGTTGAATTAGTAAGTAGATTGATTGAATCTTTAAGCACTGGGAAGCTTGGGAAAGTATTTCAGCTTGGGAAAAATGAGACCATATTTAAATATTGGCAAGTGCATTTTGGAAGTTTTACAAATGATTGGTGGGAGGTTGCAATGGTAGGAGCACATAAGGGGCTGCTACTGCATTCATCCAGTTGGAAACGATGAGGAAGTCAGTCTAAGGCCATAGCAGTGGGAAATGAGAATGGTCAAATTGGTTAAAAAAAAGTTTGAGAGGTAGAGTAAATGGGAGTTAGGCTGGGCTTTTAGCTCAGTGGTGCAGTGCCATCCTAGCATGCACCAAGCCCTTGTTCAATCTCCAGCACTGAAAAGGACAAGAAGAATAAATGGGACTTTGGAACTGATTAGGTAAAAATGATGTCTGGGTAAGGTGATAGTGAACCATCAGCCAAGAGAGTTTCCAGGAGGAATAGCTGATTTTAGGGGAAAGAAATATCCCTTTAAGATATTGTTTTAAATGTAGAGTTTGAAGTGTGTCTTAATCTGTTTTCAGTTGCTATTAAAGAATACATTCATGTGAGTAATTTACAAAGGAAAGAGGTTTATTTTGGCTCACTATTCTCACTATATCTGCATGGCTTCTTATGAGGACCTTGTGCTACTCCATGCATGGTTAAAAAGTGAAACAGCCAGGGCTGGAGTTGTGGCTCAGTGGTAGAGTGCTCGCCTAGCATGCATGAGGCCCTGGGTTCAATCCTCAGCACCACATAAAAATAAAATGAAGATGTGTCCAGCTAAAACTAAAAAATAAATATTTAAAAAAAAGTAAACAGAGGAAGCAAGAGAAAGCTAAGGAAGCCAAACCCAGTTATAACAACTCATTCCAGAACTACCTGATGCAGTCTCCTGGAGAGGAGATCTCTTCTGCAAGTTGACATTAATCTTTTTGTAAGGACTCTGCCCCAAGACCCAAAGCCTCTCACAAGCCCCCGCCTTACAGCACTAGCATTGAGGAACATACAAACCGTATTCAGACCATTGGATGTACAAATGGAGCAGTCTCATAGACGGCTATTTGGCTATATGATTTTGGAAGTCACCAGGAGTCAGAGGTCGAGATGAAACATTAGGAACCATACATTTATGGATAGTTGGAAAAAATGGGAATGGGTGATACTGTCTGTAAGAGGATGAAATGAAAAGAATCTGCTCTCCAGGGAAAAAGAGCAAAAGGACCTAGCTTAGGGAGACTGGAAAAGAAGGGTGAGAGAAGTGAGGTAGGGCAGAAGGAACGCCAGATCTAAAGGAAAGGCTTCCAGAGGGCTGCATTTGGAAGCACATGGGCTGTTGATTACTTGGACATGAAGTTTGAGTTACAACATGATAGAAGTACAAACCTGATGGCAGTGTGTGAAGAGAAAGGTTTAGGAAAAATGGAGACGTGAAAGCTCAGTTAAGAGTGAAGAGAGAGAAATGGTAGCAGTCTTCATACCATATTCAGACCTTGCTGCAGCCTGAATGTGGTTTGTATGGTAGCGAGCTGTAGTTTGAAGACCAAGCATGTTCTACGTACAGATTAAGCACAGAAATTCTTTATTAATGACAGAGGGAGTAGTTAATGTCCTAATGTACGGTTATTAATGCCCTATATGTACTGTAAAGGTCTTTAACCTTTCCTTCTTGGTGCTGAGGTTTTGAACCCAGGGCCTCGTGTATGGTAAGCACACACTACCTACCATTGAACTATGCCCCCAGACCTTGAAGGTTTTAATCTTTACCAACACTCCTGTTCTGTTTTACCCTGTAAAATGTAAAAGGTAATACATTTAACATTGTCTTTTTTAATGTATCTCTCACTAATGATTGAGCATAATTTTTTTTTGTTTTTAAAGAGATGATGATGGTTTTTTTAAAATTGTTACTGTAGTTTTATATTTATGCATTGGAATATTAATTCATCATCTTTCAAGTGCCCAGGCACTTTCCTGTGTAATTCCTAAAATTCTTTCTTTTTTTTTTTTTAATATTTTTAAAAATATTTTCTAGTTGTTGATGAACCTTTTATTTTTTATTATTTGTATGTGGTGCTGAGAATCGAACCCAGTGCCTCACACATGCTAGGTAAGCGTGCTACCACTGAGCCACAACCCCGGTCCCCTAAATTTCTTTATTTGAGAAGATTCCTAGGGATAACTTTGTTGCTAATAAATTTTTTTAATTTTAATAGGCTTGCTTCACTGAAGAAAAGTTCATTTCTTTGAATAACTGTATACATTATTTTAAAATATTTTTAAAATTTTATTTTAATGAGTTATACATGATTCTAGAATGCATTTTGATAAATCATACATAAATGGAATATAATTTCTCATTCTTCTAGTTGTACATGATGTAGAGTTAACACTGGTCATATAATTGTGTGCATGTGTACATTATTGAAGTGGTTGATTGCAGTCAGTGTTTTGCTTTTTTGTATTGATTTTTTAAAACAAATTACAGTGTGATAAACAAAAGTATATTTACTCTAAACCTTCAGAGTTGTAAATGCAGCTACCTGCTTGTTTTAGTAGTTTTAATTTAAGACAGTGTCTCATTCTGTTGCCCAGTGGGTCTTAAATTCCTGGGTGAAAGCTGTCTTCCTAACTCAGTTCTTGAAGAGGCTGCAACTACTAGGTCTAGATTGT